AAAAAAGGGGGGGGGAGAGTTCCCCCCCCTTTCCAAAAAGGGGGGGTTTTTTTTTTGGCCCCCCGGGGGGGGGGGGGGGGTGTAAAAAAAAAAAAAAACCCCCCAAGGGGTTTTTTTTAACTTTTCCCCCCCCGGGGAGGGGGTTTTTGGGGGGTTTTTTCCTTTTCGCCCGGGGGAAAAAAAAACCAAAAAAAAAGGCCCCCCCCCCCCCCCCCCCCCCGAAAAAAGAAACAAAACAAAAACACAAACACACCTGCGCCTGATCCAAGCCTCGTGCCGGTCAAGGACCGACAGCCAGCGCCGCTGCGCCGCCGCCTTCTCCCTGGGACCCTTGCCGCCGCCGGCTCCGTCGTTCGTCGCGAACGTGCTCATCAGCAGCTCCGCCCTCCTGGCTGCCTCGGAGATGGCCGCTTCGGCCGCCCGGTGGCGGTCCACGAAAGCCGTCGACTCGCCCAGCTCGGAGGGATCCTTGCCGCTCCACGCGAGGGCGACCGCAACCTGGAACGGGGGGTACCCATGTATACGCATGCCGGAGTGGTTAGACCATGGCTTGGTGTGCCTTGTAGCGTTCCAAGTAGATCATGATGGGAAGAGGATCTCCGTACTAAAACAGATCCAAAGCACGGGTTCTTCCACCCGAACGGAGTAGAGAGAGCCTCCAAAAAGCTCAACGCCGACGCAGGAAGCGCGTGATCGATCGCCCCCACGCCGAATGCCTACTACACTGAACGACGCGGTGAGAAACGACGAAATGGCGGCCGCTGCTGGATTGTTACACGAGACACCCGCCACGGCGGTCTCTCACCTTCGCGAATGTCTCCCGAAAGCACTGACCAAGCACACAAGAGGGCAGCTGCTGGAGTACACCCGCCACAGTCTTGCACATTTTCGCGAAGACAACGCAGATGGCCTACATTGACTCTACACAGAACGACGCACTAAAACACAAGCCGAGAGGGAGCGCTACCGGGTTGTTACACGAGACATCCTTCCGCCACAGCAGTCTCTCGACCACTATGAAGGCCTCCCTAAACACACCCAGCATACACAAGAGGGCAGCTGCTAGATTGTTAACCGAGATTCCATCGGCCACAGCAGCCTCTCACCTTCGTGAACGTCTCCACGGCGTCCCCGGCTTCCGCCAGCAACGCCCCAGCCGCTTCCGCCTCCTCCTCGTCAACAACCTTGTCGCCTTCCTCCTCCTCCTCCCCCCCGCCCCCATCCGTCAAAGTCCCGGACTCCCTGACGACGCTCGAAGCCGCCCTCGCCGCTTCCACGACCTCCCCCGCTCCCCCCAAGCCGCCGACCCGCTCCGGACGCAGCACCTCCAGCGCCGCCGCCAGCCTCGCTATGATGGCCGCCGCCGGCTGAACCTGCCCCGTGGCCGCGGCGGGCTCGAGCCGCTCCGCGGCGGCAAGCACGTCGGCCGGCGAAGGGCCGGCGGCAGCGGCGGCGGTGCCCTTCTCCTCCTGAGGAGCGGCGGTGGCCATTGCCGCGCTAGCAGCAGCAGCAGCCGCCGCCGCCACGACCGGGGGTGGCGGCGGCGGGGAGGCTCCGCGACTCGCCGGCTTCTCTGGGGTGACCGTCACCACCGTCACCACCGGGTGAGCGCCGGCGTTTTCGGTGATGGACGCCGGGAGCACGAGTCCAACCCCTCCGGACGACAACCTCCGGCCGCCGCCGCTCTCGCCGCCGCCGCCGCCGCCTCCGGCGCTGAGGCCGCTGAAGCCGCTCATAGCGCTACCGGAGGGTGAGGGCGGCGCCACCGAGGCGGCGGCGGCGGCGACGACGGCCACGTCGTCTTCGTTGCCGCCACCGCTGCCGCCGCTGGTGCCGCTGCCCCGCTTGCGAGCAGCGGAGGTGAACATCAGGCTCCGCGCGGGCTTCTTCCGCCCCCCGGTCCCGTCCAGCGCCGCGGGCGCTGTGAGCGGGGCCGCGAAGCTTTCGTCCAGCGGAGGGGAGTGGGCCCGGCCTTTGCTCTTCTCTCCAGATACGCCACCGCTGCCGCTGCGGCCACGCGAAGAGCGCGCGGGCGGAGGCCTGCCGTCGGCAGCGGCGCTGCCCCTACGGCGGTGGCCGGACGGGGTGGACGCTTTCCTCTGGTGCCTGGGCTTGGGGTTGCCTCTCGAGGCTCCGCCACCACTGGCGGTAGCGGAGGACGACGAGCGCCGGATGGGTGGTCGCTACAACGAGGAAACGACGGGGGGGGGGGGGTGAGGGATGCAGTAGTCTTCGCGAGGATACTAAGCTTGGTGTTAGTACGGGGGGGTGGGGTGGGGTTGGGTGTAAGAGAAAGGCTAAGGGATACGGAACCCTCCTCTCTATTTCATAGAAGAATAAAAAAATCATCGCCAAGGCGGTCCGATGATGAGCGGGGTACGCAGACCAGGCACAAAAACGATATGGCCACGACGCAAAAAAAAAAACGTGCATGCTTTTCGCGAAGGTGCCAGATCGGCAAATGGTGCTAAATCAGGTCGAATATGTCGGAAGTGAAGAGTCAAGCAGAAGAAAGAGGCACACATCTTTCGCCCGGGTCGAGTTCCAGCTTGCTTTTCTCGCCTCTGTTGTGGCGTGGCAGGACAGACACTGAGATCCTTGCAGCAGGCCGTACCAGGAGTCTGAGAGGTCGGCGAGAAAGGAAAGCGAGGAGTACCGGCAACAACAACAAACGCCTACGATGCATCGAGAGCTGCTGCAGGGCGCAGAGCAATCGATTGACGCGTTGAACAGCCCAAAAACTCGCAAACAAACACAGGCCATATGAACCAGTTGGACCAGTACGGATATTCGAAGGTACTGAGCGGGGACCGGAACGGTTTGAAATGCGAAGACAACAACAACAAGAACAACAATGAACCCCAGTTTTGCATGACCGGCTCTTGGTTTGCTTGTACACCTCACGCTCTTCCCACTCACCCCTCGCTGGTCCGGCGTCGGTACCGTGGGGTTGAAGACAGCAGTCCGTCGCACGGTGGCTCTGGGGAGCAACAAAAAGACGGACGGGCCAACAGCCAAGACCATCCCAACAGAAGGTGAAAGAAGAGGAGAAGTGAGCGCCGGGAAGGACTGCATAGCGACCGACACACAAGGGCAACAGTGGTCCGCCTTCGTTCCCCTGTGCTAACCGAAAGACCCGAGACCAGCTCCGTGCAAGAATCTAGGGAGGGCTGTTCACAAATGGCAGGCTGGAGAAATAGCGCTTGCAGAGCACACATGTGCCTGCACACACAAAAACGGACCGATTCGTGTTCAGTTCTTGTCTCTGATTCTCGAGAGGACCCTCTGTTCCACGCTCTTCCTCTCTCATGCTGGATACACGTCCGAACAACTCGTCGAGAACACCATGTAGCGGCGTACCCAACTGGTGAGCTATTTACCATTCAGAGCAAGAGCCAGCCGCCCACCGTGCGCATTTTCCGCGCCTTCACCGAGATAACCACATAAAACCGTGGGCAGCGATCGGTGCCTACGGCACCTGCTGCTGCTGTATTCGGGGAAACACAAACAAAAAATCAAGTCGAAAAGGCTACATAAATTTGTTTTTTTGTGTGTACAAGATGACTTAGCCTGTCCGCCTATCATTCACGTTCGAGTACTTTCTTGGGGGAAACACGGGCAGCAATAACAAGGTGAATGGGGTACACGAGTTTCTTCTTGCAGATGCCTATTCAGCTTCTCTCTCACGTTCGAGGGGTTTGGCTCTGCCATTGACCCCGCTGGCTCGGCGTCCCCGCCCTCACGGGGGTCCTACTCCTTGCCCCTCGCCCCGCGCCGTCCGCCCTGGGCGTGAACGCCCCGCCCCCCGCCCCTCTCGGCGTGAACCCGCCCCTTCCATCGCCGCCGCCGCCCGGCGCTGCCCTCGGACTGCGGCCCCGAGGGGTCGGTGCTCCCCCCCCTGGCCGGTTTCTCGGGGTCCTGGAAGGCCTTCTTTCGGGGATAGGGGTTCCGCCGAATCCGGGCTCGCAGGGCACCTCCTGCAAGACGCCTTTCTCATTGACGCGAGGGACCGCGTAGCTGATCAACAATAAAGGAGGAGGTTCACGAAACATTGAACATCGTGAGGGGGGTCGAGGAGGAAAAGAAGGGGGGGGGGGGGCGCTCGAAGTCTTTCTGGGTGTGGGTGTAGCAAAGGGCAGCCCCGTACACCATTGGAAAAAAATACCGCCACGTCTGCCAACAGCTGTCCGCAAGCACAGCTGTCCGCAAGCACAGCGGCGGCGGCGGCGGCGGCGGCGGCGGCGGCGGCAGCAGTCGACCACCCGCACGTCTGCGGGAACCTGTGAACTGAGCTATGTGACTTGCACTCGGAGACCGCTCCATTTGGTCCAGTCCACGAAATTGAGCAGCACGACAGCCTGGGCCAACACAACGCGGTGCAATTCCGGCACATCTATCATACCGTCGTGCCACGACCTGACGACGTCATAAGACCGTCTGGGCTGACAGAATAGGTTCACTCCCAAATAAATACCATACCACGGACACATCACGACGGTGTACCGCGGTAAGAGCTCACTCACCTTTCTAGGTCGCAGTATGGGCAGAGGCGAGTCTTGGTGATGAAGAACACCTTCTTCTCGATCCAAGATCTCGGGTGCCTCGGACACATCACTTCCCCCTGACCAGAAACAAAAGACACACACACATATAACGTGAGGGGTGCTTAGCACTTTGTCGACAGAGAATGTTCCGGGAAACTCCCTGGAAACAACGTCCACCGTTGCAGTATTTAGCCCGAGGCACAGCCGGGCGGGGGTCTGTGATGGAGGAGGAGAGATATTCCCACCGATGGATAGAACGCTTGCTTCCGAAGCGCCACTGATTCCTGGCCGGAACCTTCAAACTTGAGCTGCTGAAATTTTTTGCGACGTAGAAGAACCTCTTCTGTATGGCCCCGGATCAGACGTCTTCAGTCTTCAATGACAGAGGCAAGCCCAGGCGAGGCAGGCAGAAACTGCCAGTGATGGTTGAGAATAAAACGGGAAAACCCGACAAAGAAAAGTTCCGAATTTGATTTTTTGGGCGGGTGTATTTTCACGAGGCTGCTGTGTGCGTGTTGCTTGCCTTTGGTGTTCGTTGTTGTGTTCTGTCTAGCGCGTTTTAGTTGGCGTGGAAGTTTTTTCTCGCCGGGAAAAAAAAATCCGACCGTTCTCTGGGACATCACCGCCGTTGACCAGATTTTTGTTCCGCTCATCACAACCTGGAGGTTCTTAACAGTACTTACAAGCAAGTAGCCGCAACTGATCGGTAGACGCTAGAAGCTACCACAGGTCTTCGGACTTCGGACCCTTCTGCGCCCCTCTCTTACCTACCCTGCTTGACTTTTCATGGCGGTTTGGCGTCCCCGCCGGGGTACAGAAAGCGGAGGCACTCAACAACCTATTCATTTTTGGCGACGCTCGTTGCTTGTTTTCTCTATGGGGTACAGTACACCCCAACAACGACTAAGATAGGTTTGTAGGCTTATTGCCTGAGCACCTGCTGTTCCCATGGCCAAGCTCGTAACGTGTCATGTTTCTGTTCTGAACTCCGAGGTTGTCAAGTTCGGGCGCTAGCTGTATATTCTGTTGTTTTCGCCAACACCGCTGACCACTGAACTCTGAGTAAACCTTGACCAATCAGATGGCTGGGTGGCCATTCGTTATGGCACACAGTACGTGCACCCGTCTAAAGCAGTCAACACCCTTCGCGAGGACGTTAATCTTGGTTTTAGTAGGGGGTACAGGGCAGTCTCGTTCGTTCGCATAGAGTTTAGAGTATGCCCCGCGTCCCCTCCCGCGGTGCTTCCTTCTCCTTAGTTTTTCATCGTGAGAAAGGTTAGTTCAGCTATCCCAGTCCCTCGTCGACCCTGCCCATCAAGCTGTAACATACACACCACTCACAAAACCCAGTATTATAGCTTCCGCAGGGATTTTCGGTTTCAAGTAAACATGTTGGAAAAAGAACGCAATCGGGGAAGTCGGGTTTAAGGTTACGGAGTTTAGGGATAGGGTCTGTCTGCGTACCCTCCCTGTTCTGCTTCCTCACAAGCTTCCATCTCTCGCGAAAGGCGGTCCAAATATAATAAATGATCGTTTTCACCGCAACAAATTGTACATACAACTGTAGGATTTGAGAGAAGAGAGAATCATATACCCACAATCTCTACTTCGAAGTACTATTACTGAAGTACATGCGGAGTATGAACCCACAACATGGTACTACTACATACACACAGCTGTAGACCCCCCCCCGTCGAGCTATATACATAGCGCACTATCCCCTGCTACGCATTCACTCACATTGTATCTAAAGCAGAGCAGTTCGCTGGAAAATTGCGAAACACGTCATGGTGCTGTTGTCTCCAACGGGTATGTAACCTTTGTTGGAAGATGATTTTGCGCATGTATCCGAATATATACACGAGTCCCATGTGTGCGCTTTGGCAAAACTTCACGTTGCAATTGTTTATTCTTCCTAACGTACCCGCCGGTAATTATCCCGGAAGCGGGTCGTGTGGATCGCGTGCGTTCTTCCCTGTAGGATGACACACGCGCATGTATTACGCATATTACAGTCAACGACCCCGTTTACATCTCACAAGCTTAGTCACCGCCACCTTGTCAGCGCCAAACGTTTTTGTACAGCAGGACGTGGAACGGACGGACTTGGAAAGAACACTGCTGTGCGACAGTCTTAATACCTGTATGGAAATGTAGCAGGTTCGTCGTATGCTCGACGAATCTGTGCATGTACAAACCGAGTCAGCGAGTGGCGCACAAACGCAGGTTTACCCGCCGGAATCGAATGTGGCACGGGGTATATACAAGGTAAAGAAGTAGAGATGTTGCACTACACACGGCAGACAAAAAGAAGCGTGGCTCATGCGTCAGTTGAGGCTGACTTGTTGTGCTAAACGTCAGCGAGTTAGCCCATGGTTGTTGATGCTTTGCCTCCCGCCGTCGCACGACACACAGCACGCGTTATGATGCTGAGAGAGAAGTCGCTCTGTTTGCTCAATCCCTCGTTTGTACCACAACACTAAACGAAGGTGATTTATACGAAATACTGCTGTATTGCTTCTCTCTTCCGTTCCTGAAGGCAAGTGTTGAGAAAAAAAAGCGCGGACCGCGCACGACAGCGGTGCACAACTGCTGCTGCTGCTTGCTCATGAACCTGTATGAATAGGCAAGTAAAAAAAGCGGAACATATTCATGACTACACCACTGAGGACGAGGAGCAGGAGGAGGGAGACACACACACGATTAATCGTCTCTTACATGCGCGTGTGTGTAGCGTACATGGAGATGGTGGTTCGTTTGCCGAAAGTCTTCATGTTGGATTTACACGCAGGAAGAAAGCTATCGGCATGATCGGAAAAAATACCCGGCGGTTGCCGGTGCTGTGAAGAAGTTTTCGCGCCCTTGTGTGCCCAAAGGATCCACCACTTCGCCTCAGGGCAATCGATGGACAAAACGCCGGGCGTGGCGGCGCGGCGGTCACCACCGAGAGAACCACACACGAGGCTACAGCCGTGAAGCGGCAAACACTCAACTCCTCTCGCAAAATGGTGCCCCGGCCGGACCGTTTTCCATCCAACTCTATTTTGAAGATAAAACGAACTCATCTAGACAGAACGACGTGATTGTTTTCCCGTGCGAAACTTCGCGAGTGTAGCATTCCTGCTGGGTTGCTGGATGATGAGGCAGCTGCTCGCTCTCAAGACACAAACGGCGCAGACGCCTCGCTTCCACGAGTCAAATAAACCTTGCAGCATGTTCCGGACTCACCGATTTGGTGGCATCGCCTGTGGTGCTGGGCCTGCGGGATGGAGACGGGCTCCTCAGCATCTTTGCTCTTCCGTGTTGTAGAAAAAATGTTCAACTCAATAAATTGTTGTGCTGGTGCTGATGCTGTTCCGTCCCCACCTTTTGTTCTAACCTCCACGCTTCCTCTTGCCTCGCGCTCTTCAAGGAGAGAGGCACTCAGGGGCTCGGAGGCGTTATGCGCGCGAGCCTGGCCTGTCCAGGGCTCACGCACGGCGATGCTGTGGGCTTGCTACCCTCTGGTCTCTAGCAGGCTTGCTGCTGCAGGTTGGTTGCCGGTTGCCGGGCGGGGTCTCCCGAAGTGTGACTCTTTTGGAGGTACTCCTACACAGTACACCTACCCTATCTACGGGGCCGCAACAGCTCTCTCCACTGCTCTGGGTTGGTTGTGTCGGCGGCTGTCGGATGAGAGGTGATATGCTGCCGGAGCAGGATACACTTCGTGTGTGACGAAGGGACGAGAATGGTCTCCCTGAAACGAGCCCTCCGACTCTACCTTCAGCAGGTGAAGATTTTGTCTCCTGTGGTGTGGAAGTGCCTCCTCTCTCCCGCCCCGAAGGTCCCCCTTGTCCTGATGTCGCCATGCGCAGCAACAGCAGTTCCTTGGTGAAAGCACACCCTACAACGTATATTCGAAGATGTTTTGGACCGTGGAATCCCACAGCAGCAGCAGCAGCAGCAGCAGAGTGTCAATGCACCCCGCGTTCCATGTCGCACCGATTTAGCGTGTGGACCCCACCCGACCCTGGCATGCAAACGGCAGAGCTGTTCCGCCGTCAGAGCAGTAAAGAGGGTATGTGTAATCGTTTGTATGCACAACATGCGCAGATATAGTCTATGTACGTGGTATTATACTTGTAGGAGCATGGGCAAGGATCTCGAGGAGATTCGCTGCGAGAGATATACAGTACAGCAGTACGACAGCTATCCAGCAGCCCAGCAGCAGTAGTAGATTATGCATGCAAAACATGAGATACGACAATGGTGTGAAAATTGCATGCAAATGTTCCTTGTGTTCACAACCACTCAACCCTCTCCCGAGAAACATAACGCAGTACCATGTTTGTCGAACTATGGAGCAGCGCTGATCAGCATGTTCGTCCGAGGGGAAACACTCGCAGTCAGCCAACCCTTCGTGATCAATTGTCTTACGGAAAACGTGCAACACCTGCAGTTCTTGGTCTTATATTTACCTCAACACACCATCGTGCGCAGTATCACCCAACTTTAAAATGTAGCGGCTACATACCTGTAGGCTGAATAGGGCAGCCCTTCCCGCACCCCCAGTATGGGATGGGAACAAAATGTTGTTGTTTCTTATCTTGTCGTGGCCCCAAAGCTGTGAGCTCGGAGTTTTTTTCTAGATTCCACGCGCCCAAAGAACAAAGCGATGAGGCACACGGTCTTCACCGGTAAGCCATTTAGCGCTGCCGGTGCTGGAGACACACACACGACATGTGCATCACACCTCCTCCCCCTATTAACTTGCGAATGATTCTGCGGTGACCCCACCCCTCCTCGCCTGCAAGGCTCCTCTGGAGGCACTCGTGGGGGAGCTCAAAGCTTCCGCGGCAGAAAGCCGGGGGGAGGACGAAACTGGACTACGGTCGTCGACGTCGTCGTTGTCGTCGTGGACCTCCCTTGGTTTTCAGGAGAGGGTTGCGACGGAGCTGCTTGACTGTCCAATCGCGGCGGAGTTTACTCCTCGCTTGGAATACGTCTCCCGGGTCACCAAGGTGCGAGAAAGGACGTGAAAACGAAACGAGATGTTGTCGTGCTTGATGTGATGCCAACCTCCTTGCAGTATATATAGCCTTCGCGAGGGTATAAAGCTCGGTGATAGCAGGGGGGTTGGTTGGGGATGAGGGTTAGGGATACGAAACCCCCCGTCCCTATCGTCGTCCAAGAACCCAAAGAATGTACTTCTGAAATTGAATAAGAATCCTTTTTACAAGAAAATATTGGAGAAGGCGGTCCCGTCCTTGGGGCCATGGGGCCATATTGCACCCACCTCTGCGTTCGAACAGCTTCTTCTTACCGCACGTTTGCGTGCAAATGCTTGGCACCCACCTCTGCGTCCGAACAGCTTCTTCTTACTGGATGTTTGCGTGCAAATGCTTGGAGTGAAAGTTGGCGGCCTGGAAACCCAACCGGCGTGTTCCGGAGCGCGACTGTTCTATACGTCTATGCCCGGGGTCTGGATTACGGAACATGCACTGCGAGGGTCAAAGCATCAAGCTTGTTAAACAAAGTTGGGTCCAAAAATCTTTGGAATGCATGTTCGCGGTCGTTCGCCCTCGTCGAGTGGTTGAACCCATCCTCTTGTGTGTGGACTACGTCGTCCTGCGGCTAGCTTCTTGGGTAACCTCGACAAGGCCAACGCGTTCGGGGTGGTCACTTCCAATCAACGGCGGCCTCCCCCATGCACTACTGTACAGCACGCTTTGAACAAGAAACCGACGTTTGTCTTTGGCCAGACAGACATGCTGTGAGCGCTGATTAAAAAATGAAAATAACAAAACACGGCGGCGGCGGCGGTTCGACAGGTTCTTCTAGAGGCGGTCGAGACGGCAGGAGACGAGCCCGCCGAGGGTCTCCTACTCGCCAGGATGGCGTGCGTGTCTTCGCTCCGGGGGGGGGGAGGGCACAGCGACGACACCGCTTTCGAGTCGTTCTGGTTCCCTCGCCGCGCCGCACTCTGCGACATCATCAGCACCGGCAGTGATTACTCTGCCAAGGGTTTCCAGGAAGAGGAAGGCGGTACGTTCTTTTCGTTCCGGGTGGCCAACCGGGACAACGAGGTGGGATTTTTTTTCGGAATCCGTATGTTTTGCAGTTGGTGGGTAGGAACCCACAGCCCTGGCTGTTTTATGTCCTTTCTGTTGTATTTTTGTACGTGGAGCCGCTGCCGCCCCGTGTCGAACGCTTGTAAGGCCATCTTCGTTTGCACGGCGTTTTGCGAGTCTCTGCCTGAAGTTGTCGCGACTGAAAACTTCCACGCGCAGCAGCTTTTTTCCCATTCACACTGTTCCTACTACGCTCGTGATTGTTCTCTCATCACGGCAGGTGCAACACATGGTCCGGGGGACCTGCCATGGAGCTTTTCATTTTCGTATCCCCCCCTTCGTGTTGCTCCCGGGTTGACAGGCGCGCATTGTTGCGCACAATAATCAAGGAGTGATTCCCGCGATGATGGATGTTGGGTGTTCACATGTTTCCAGTGCATATGGCTGGCGCACCCTTCCCTCACATGCATATTCGTCTGCTTTTGTTGTTGCTGTTGTTGTTGTTATTATTGTTGTTGCCTTGACATCAAAACTGTTCCGGTCTCTACTCTACACCTTGTACCATCCGTAACTGACTCCGACACCTTTGGTGGTCACACGGCCAACTACCCAAACAGGGTTCACTTCCATTAACACCAAAATGGAGAACTTCGGCTCGTTAGGATTTGATCAACCTGATGCCTTGTCGACGATACAACAGTGCTCGCTGTCGGCGAGCAGCGATTAGACTTGCCCTGGCGCCGCCGCCCCCTCCCTCCGTGGCTTCGTTCGTTGGTGACTCGTCTCTTTCCTGTCTTCTGATTAGGCACGCATCAACCCCGCCCTCCCCCCTGGCTGCCCCCGATAGGTAGGCCTTCGAGTCTGGGAGGCAGGGCGAGCTCTCGCGGGTGAGTGATCTCTATCTGCCTGGTTTTGAGCTAGCCACAAGATGCGAGAGGCTGGGCACACACGGCAGATGATCTTTTCTGCATGCATGTGTATGCACCGCGCACAATTCGGTGATTCCTACCCCCCCGCGGTTCCCTCCGAACTATTCATTTTCGTGACTTTAGGAGGTGGTGGTGTGTTGGCGTTGGGGATAGTCCTAGGGATCACGGTTTTCTCTTCAGAACGAAGGTATGCTGCATGACCGACCCTCGGGGGATTTCCGCCATTTTCTCCCACGTATACTGGTAGAGCTCGCTCGTGAAAGCCAACAGGGTGTTTGTAGATGGGAGGGGGAGGAGGTGTGGTCGTGCCTATGCGGTACTGCGTGGGGGTCCCTTTTTTTAGCACTGAACTGGCGTTCTTTGGCGAGCCCCATCACAAAGGACCGGTGTCGAAAAAACAGGCTAATTTCCTCCAACGCTACCGCCGAGACGGCGAGTATGTCGACACTCAATACCACGCATTTGTCTCTTTGCGTTACAGCCTACCAGTTTTGCCGGTTGCTCCCAGCGGATGGGAGGTTTCGTTCCTAGAGATAACCGCAGTCCTAGGCTGCCGAGGCACACGTTCGCTCCTTCGCGTTGTTGCGTCCGACCAATAGTAGGAGACTCGGCCTTGAAATGTGCTGTACGGGGGGAGTGGCTTAGGTGGTACCGGGCGCTCTCGCATCGAATACAGTGACAAAATTCTACGGTAGTCTTGTTCACGAAAGAGTCCACTCTATTGGGACATCCCGTCATCGACTGTTTTTCCTATTTTCAGTAACCCCCGCCACAGCTTTCTTGCTCGTGTTGGCACTTTTTTTTGTTGTAGCGAAGCCCGAACTATATAGTGCTTGGGTTGCTGTGGTACTGCTTAATTGCCGCGCGACTTTAGTGTTATCCGCCACCTTCTGTGGTGCTTTCGTGCCGTCCCTGCTGTGGTACGGTGTGCCCACTCTGCTGCCGGCGTTCCCACGCCAACACGCCCGCGCCACCCCGCCTTAGCTACACTTGCTCCGGCTACACTTGCTCCGGTCGGCCCTTTTCTCTACTACTACTACTACTGTTACTACTGCTACTGCTACTATGCTGCTCCTCCTCCTCCTCCTCCTCCTCCTCCTATAATCCCCACTACTCTACTGCAACTGCTGCTGCTGCTGCTGCTGGTGTCATTCCTGAAAGAGTTCTGCCTGGCGCACTCGGGCTTGCTGCGAGGGAAGAGAGTGCTGGAACTCGGCGCGGGGATCGGCATGACCGGCATGGCTGTGGCTGCCACTTGCGGAGCGGCGGAGGTCGTCCTGACGGACTACGCGCCCAGGTACGAGGAGTTTTTTTTTGTTTTTTTTTGTTTTTTTTTCACTCTTTCCCCCACTCTACCTCTTCGGAGAAGATAAGAACAACCACAACCATCTCGTCCTCTCGGTCGGGACGGACGGATTCTTGGAACCAATGCAGATTTTTTTTTTCTTTTTGTGGAAAATTGGTGGTGGGTGTGTTCAACGAAAATGCTTGAAATCGGTGACGAAAACGGATACCTCTGTCCGGCCTCTGAGAATAGTTCTTTTTCTATCCTATCAGGTCATTTCTGACATAATCTCCGAAATTTCCGACGAAATGCCTTCGAGGGCGCACCTCACTGCATGAACACTACCACCACCCCAAATGGTCTGCCCCACTCCACGAACGCCGCCCCTTCTCTCGACTCCTGCACGCCAAAGAGTGCTCGCTAACCTTCACCACAACCTGGAAATCAACCGCGCGCTGCTGGAAGCTGGCGCCGGCCAGAGCAACGGCAACAACGACAAACCCTCAACAACGCCTTCGGGCGTGTCCGTCCGATTTCTCGACTGGACAGACTACTGCCACCACAAGGCCTCCTCCGTACCGCCAGCCGGCGGCAGCGGCGGCGACGGCGGCGGCGGCGGCGGCGGCGGCGGCGGCGGCGTTAGGGCCGACGCAACGAGCGGCGGAACTGCCGACGGCTCGCGAGCTGACGAGGACGACGATGGCGGGGGTGGGTGTCTAGGAGGCGGCTGCTCCTCCACAGCGGCGGCGGCGGCGGTGGGAAGTGGAGAAGGGGGGGCGAGACATACTGGGAGTGGCGGGGGCAGCGAGTGCGGGGACGGTGGGGGCGATTCGCTTGGTATGCCGGAGGTGGTTCTGGCTGCGGACGTTGTGTACGACGTAAAGTGAGAAAGGCGGTGTCGTGACTTTTGCTTGGCGGAAAGATTATTGTTTGGTCCGTTCTGTTTCGTGTAGTGGTGCCGGCGCTGGTTTTGTGCTTTGTACGGGACAATGTCTCTCTCCCATGATCACCCCATTTTTTTTTACCACGCGTTTCCAGCTTCTTAAGATATCTTGATCGCTGGGTCCCTGTGCTATGCCTTGGATCGTCGTAGGCTTTGCCGCACGGATGACTGTGCATTAGGCGCAGCTTCTCTGACCAGACACTACGCCTCGCACAACTTAGTAGGCGCAGCTTCCCTGAGAGACTACGCCTGGCGCAACTTAGTTGCCCCCGACGCTCGCTCAGCTCTTTTTCGCGCAGCTTGCGGAGAGGACACCCTGGTTGTGCGGCGCGCTTGTAGGGTAGTGGATTTTCGTTTACACACACAGAGGGATCGGCGCTGGGCTATAGCCCACAGTAGAGCTCTCCAAGGGCAGCTTCTACACCTGAAGCACGCAAGTCCGTGTTGAGATTTCTCAAGCTCGTGAGCAGTCCGCTCTTGTTGTTGTTGCCTGCTTGTTGCGCATTCCATCCGCATTGTCAAACGCGCTCGTTTTCGTTTGTCGTGTGCATCCTTCTATGCACGCGCGCTCTTCTTCATTTGTGGTTGGCGGCGGCGCGATTTTCGGTCGGCGGGGGGGGGGGCAGGTATCACTCCGCGCTCGTAGGAGTGGTGGTGGAGACGCTGCGGAGATGCCCCGATGCCCTCATCGTGTTCGCGTCTACGGTAAGCGGACAGACCGTCTTTGTTGACGTATCGTGTGCACGCAAGCGTGAGCCGTGATCGACGTCGTCGTCGTGATTGCCAGTCGTTGCCATATTGGAGATAGCGCCAGCCCTGGGAAGGGCGCATCGGTGTCGAGAACGTCGCCTGGAACGTTCTCCTACGAACAAGACGTGGATTCGGTCTTGGCGTTTAGGCTCCCTCGTCGTACACGTTTTGGCAAACCGAGGTCGGACACTCTGTCCGGGGTGCGTTTGCTGGTCGAGCACGCCGTGTTTTCGTGCCACCACGGGCTCTCGTTCTCATCGCATCGCTCCACACCCCACCCCTGACTCCATGGGGGGCGTTGATGGGCTGGTGCGCTTGGGAAGAAAACTAAACAGCGCTGACGGTCAATGGGCAAGACGTAAAGTTGGAAGGCGTCGTCGAATGAAAGTACTTGCTGCGATGACAAGTACAGTAGTCGCAGCAGACCGGGTAGCAGCAGCGGCAGCAGTTGCGATCTGGAAAGAGGAGGTACGCGCTTGTCTTTCTTCGGTCGGTCAAAAGATGTTAGACAAACACAGCGTTCAGATTCTACATCGATGAAGTTTATTGTCGTAGGGGGTTTGGGCATCGCTCTTTACTACGCCCGTGGGAGATTTGTAGGACTGTCGGAAATGATGTGGACCCTGGCATCCCCTTCGAAAACGTGACAAGACGAAAGGAATGCCTCGGCATGCAGTGAGCGAGAGTGTTTAAACCAAAACGATTTTTGCCGGCACTCGCTTTGATGCCACACCCGGCGGAATTAGAGGAGCCCCAAAGTGCGCTTTGTAACGTAGATATTGAGGATGTACGGCGGTAACATGCTCCAGAACACACGCCCGCGACATCCAGCACACCTCCAAACCCACGCATACCCCCCTCCCTTCACGGCACTCTCCGCGTGTCCCCTTACTCCCCATCCCCCATCCCCCGCCCCCCCCCGACAGCTTCGGAACTCCGAGACAATGGCAGCTTTTCACCGGTGCCTCGAAGAAGCCGGGATCGTGTGGCAAAGCGTGGGTTTCCCTTCCTCCGAGGAGGCCTTGGCGAGCCAATCGGACAGCTCGCCGCCGTTTCGAGAAAAGGCTCGAGGAGAGTCCGCGTCCGACGGTAGCAGCCGCTACCCAACGGCTGTGCGGGGATCAAGTCGTGCGGACTCGACAGAACTGTTGTGGTGTCACCCAGGAGACTTGGAGCGGGTGAAGTTTTGCGTTTGCGGGCGGGGGCGAGGGCTTGTCGAGCCCGTATAGGGAATGTCTGATTGTGTTTTCGTGCTTCGATGGGGGAGCCAGGGTTCAACACCTTCCTTACAGGAGCTGTATAGACGTAGGGAATGTCTGACTGCTGCTTGAGTTTTCGCGTTTCCATGGAAGCCAGTATCCGAGATGAGGTACACCCACATGGCTGGGCGTAGTAAGGAGCTGGAGCCTGGAGGACGTTTTCGCATCCATGCCTCCGAAGATGTGCACCTTGAACGTGCTGCCGAACGCCGCACGAGAATTAACGTAGAGTTGGATGTTGGAAATGAGAATCGATCGTGTCCACGAACGGCGGCGCGCTGTCTCTTTTCTCAAAATTTTGTTTTTTGCTCGAGTACCCTCGGCCGCGCTTGGTACTTCACGTCAAACATGCCGAGAGAGAACACGAGCCTACGCTTGGACCGTTGAACTATGTGCTTCAATATAGGCCATGACTCGGTAGAGTTGCGGGGGAGATCAGCAGCGTTCAACGAAGACTTGGATCCTGACCACCCGGCAGACATTCAATGTGCCACGCGCCACGAGCAACTCGAAGAACACCCGGGGTCAAGGCCGCAGTGGCGGTCTCCCGACTCCCAGACAAAGGGACAAGCGGCCAGGCCGTGAAATTTGTTGATGGCGGCATGGGTATTATTTCTTCCTTCGAGGGGGGGGGGCGATGTTCTGGCCTTCTCTCCCTCCGGCGTTGTGATCACGAGACTGGCACATCTTCGTCTGCCGGGTCGCCTGCAACAACGGAGTCTCTGTCGGGGCGTTCGTGACAATTTCCCTAACTTTGTTCAATCAAGGGGTCTCACGATGGGGCGACTTGTCGCTTCACCGGCGAAGGATGATTTTCTCTCGCGAGAGGTGGTGAGGAAGGTGTACCTCCGAAGACACCGGAACCTTGACCCACTAAGAGCTGGGGGGTGGTCTCACTCGCTTTCATTTTTTTCGTGGACTTCGATGCCCCACGGCCACGTCGTCTTGTGTCAGGAGATGTGGCGGGAGAGAGAGAGGAGGGCGAGAGTGAGGGACAGAATACAGACAAACGGACAGACGGACACAAACGGACAGACGGACACAAACGGACGGACGGACGGATAGAGGGGCGATGGAAGGGGAGGGAGCGAGAGGGGAAGGCGTTCTTCCCGGTGGGGCAGTTATTTCAGTTGTGCTACATACCACTAAGGGGATCTCTCGTTTGTTCTGCTGTCTGGTCGGCTACACGCGAACGTAAGGATCGTATTTTTCGGGTCGTGTGGAAAGCTCTGGAAAGCGCGCTCGCTGCGCGATAGCTGCGTTCCCCTTCTATCGCGCACGAGGCGCAACATGTATGGGCAACGACCATGTTCGTCAATCGAGGATATCCATTGGTTACCCACTGCCGATGTTTTTCGGATTGGGCAAAGCCTTCCAGCCTCTGTTTGCGATTGTGAAGAGGGAGAGTGAAGGTCTGCAATCATATCCCAGCTTCACTCTTGTTTCGTCACTACATAAGTGAAGCACCGCTCGGAATCTGTACCCGTTGGCCTGTTTGTTACTGAACAACTCTGATCAGGGCCAAACCGAAGGATCTTAATATTCCCCTTGTGAACTTCTTGTTTTTTGCGGGAGAAGGGATCAACAGAGTGACATTCTGCCCGTTTTTCGTACAGCAAGCAGCTCAGGGTTTGCGTTGAGTGTGACTGCTGTCTCGAGTGAGTTTTCGGAAGCCACAAGTCCTCCCTGCATGGAGCTTTCCTGTCATCATCATCCCTGCTTACTGCTGTTATGGTTGTTCGTGGTGATACGAGAGTGAAGGCGATACCACACCGGCGGCGTCACTTTCCGTTTTCATTAGGATGTCTCGCAATTTGGTGTGGCCTGCATTCCCAAAAAAGTGAAAATATAAGTTTTCATTTCTACTCGTGCAACCAACCGTTGACAAGAGATTGTGTGGGGCATAAGTGATGCTCAATCACTTATTCAAGGGGAATTGCTTTTGTGAAGAAAAACAGTCAAGTCCTTTGCCGTCGAGGACTGCATCCTTTTTTGTGGACGTGGCGTGTGACAAGCACTCTTTTCATGAGTGAACATGAACGTCGTTTGGGGTTGCATGATACTACAGACGAGGAGGGGGTATTGAATGGGATGCTCGTACATCGAAAAACGTTCACTCGACTTGTTCCATTGCTAGCGAAAGAACTGGCGTTCCATTTCGCTTGGTGTGTACTCCTAGGTTTTCGCTTCTTGGTGGGTTTGGCCGATTCGCTGCTAATGAGTGCGTCAATCTGCCGATTCAGGAAACTTCACAAAACTATCGAACAGGGTTTCGCAAAGCCCCACCAGCCTCACGGAAACACGCCCTTTTGCACATACGTGGGAGGTCATCTTTTTTCTCACACTGGGGTAGGTGTGGCACTTGTGATGACCGTCCAGGTGCCGATTTCACTCCCTCCACTCTGTGAACTACATATGTATACTGAATAATCTGGGAGTGGGCTACACTTCCGCTGTGACATATGTAGTGCATGTCATGATCATTCAGCCGCCGCTCGAACGCCCTCCACCCTGTGAAATATTGGTGAAAGCCCTGGGAGTGAGAGGTAGTGAACGTCGAACTCAGCGTTGGTCGGGAAATCATCACTTCAGACAGATATGTATGAGTGAGTCCGTAGTTGTTGGGCGAGAACATGGGCGTCAACCGTACACCAAGATCTCGTCATACTGCGGGATACCACGATCTCTTCGAAACACATTTGGTAAACGCAATATTTCGTTTGGTATGTTGGCACCTTTCTCTGCCCTTTCCTCCCGAACCTTCTGCCCGGACTCAAACAGGGACCATCCTCGTTCCGTCCAAGGCTGGACACGGTCTCTTGCAATGAACACGTCTCATGGATGCCTGCAATCTTGTAGGCAACATAGGAACCCTACGCGGGACGCTGGGCCTCCTGGTACGCGCGCGCACTCGATCTCTCTACAGAAAGCCGACGATTACGCGAAACACTCCCTCTTCCGTCAGCCCCACCAGCCTGGCGCAGGCACCGACAAAATCGGGCTGGAACGCGATCCTGCCCGCGTCGCCATCGTCATCCATGGGGACCTCGATCGCGCTGCTGCTTGCAGCTGCGGTTGGGTCGGTTGAGGCGACATGCCCACCGTCACCCACATCAACACCACCTAGCAACTGTCGGTTGGACGCTGCGACGGTGATCATGACGTTCGGTCCTCCTTCCGCTGGCGTCGTCCTCGGCATCTTGGCTGCGTGTATTGTCCCGATGTGAGAATCACTACGGCCTGCGCTGCTACGACGGGTGGCGGTGGCTTTTTCATGCCCTGGCCCTTGATGAAAAGTGCCCGCCGTCGATATGTTCTGCGCTTTTTCAGTTCGTAGACGCCGAGTTCGGCACATGACTACTAAGCCTCGGCGCCGCCAGGCCCTGTCCTGAGGTGCCCGCACAAGCAGACGGCGGACACGATGTTCTGTCTCCTCCCGCTGCTCTTCTGACAGCGCCTCGTCGGGGGCATAAGTGCCGACGACTTCGACTGCACGGTGTTCAGGCGACGGGTGAAAGTCAGTAACACGTTATGGTTGAGACCACGCCCGTCCGCCGACAAGACTGTGGCGGTAAACTGGAAGAAGAGTCAAAACCAATCATTGAGTGGCGAACAGAATCATTGCAAAGTCCGGAGGCCCCGGGAAATTGCAATTGTGCATACAAAGAATCCACTGCGAGAGCTATCGGCATTGTTGTGGTGATGCGAAAGACTGTAGTATGCTGTAGTCCTCACCGGTTGATGCATACACAATGTTGACCGGCCTATTCACGTTGTACTCTGGAGAGAGAAGCGATATCGCGCTTCCGCCGGGATTCCAAACAAGATAATTGTTCTGAGTAGTGGATTGGACTCCCTGCTCGTAGGTTGCCAGGCGCGAGCACTGTCGATGCAGTTCGAGCTGGACGAAAAAGATCCAGGAAGCTCTTTTTAAGGAAAGAGGAATTTTGTTCTTACCTGGGATGTGCCCGCCACCGTCGGCCTTGGTTTCGTCGGCGCCCCATCTACGGGGTCAAATCGCGTGCAGTACGAAAAGCAAACGTCAGCGCAGTGTTGATGGTGCCCTCATTTGCAACAAAAGAAATCGGCATCAAGGTGAACGCCGAACCCGTGTTCCGACGACCCCCGAGCCCTCGATTACATCGACAGCCGCGAAGGACCGCCTTCACGAGGATTCTATTGTTGGTCTATGAAATAGAGAGGGGGCGTTTGTATCCCTATCCGTATCCCAAACCCTACCCACCAACCACACCCGTACTCTCTACAAAAACCAAGCCGAATACCCTCACGAAGGCTACTCGTCACCAGTATAACCCTTGAGAATGCGACCCATACCCCGCGGCCATCTAGTCTACTTCGGTTGCTCGACGAAAGACACCAAGCTCGCTGCGTCGGGCGGACTTCACCTCAGCAGGAAGTCCACAATTTCGTCCGCAAGGTATTGAGTCGCAATGTGAAGCGGGTACTCTCCGGCCGACTCGCGGGCGTCCATCTTCGCGCCTCGCCTCAACAGCTCGAGGACGACATCGCAGCAGGTGTTACACCTGGTGAAGGGGCCACGAGAGAGAGAAAAAAGAGGCTGCTGGTTGGAGGATATCAACGAACTCGTCTTCCTTGCCTGGTCACTGAGGACACTGTAGACAAGATACCAGCACACAGGCAACAACCCCAAATCAATAGGCAAGACCGTAGTACTGGTACCACACGGGTGGGAAACAAGGGAGCGGGCGACGTGCAACTACAAACCTGGCGGCGCAGTGAAGAGGTGTCCACTGATGGATGTCTTGCGACTCCAGGTCGGTGCCGGCTGCAATGAGCACGCCGACTGCACTCGACTGGTTGTTGTCCGCGGCCATGTGAAGCGCCGTGTAACCGGTGGAGTCGACAGCGTTGACGTCCACCCCTTCGTGATGGGCCAGAGCTTTCAGGACGCTGATGTGCCCGTGCGACGCGGCCGAGTCGAGGGGCGATGGCTCGTTCTCTCCGTAGCGAATATCTGGGTCGGCTCCAGCCATCAGGAGAGCGTCTGTCGTGCCACGAGCACCATGCTCCGCGGCTACAATCAACGGTGACTTTTCGCACGGCGGAAATAAAACGACGGAAACAGGGGGGGGGGGGGGGTTGGCTGGTGGCGTCCGCAATGATCATGTGCCCTATTCGAGACCAGCGCGCGGAGGGGTAAGGGGGCTTCCCGACTGGGCTCTGTAGTAGCTACCATGAACGGCTTTTCGCCGTTTCGAAGACAATACTGCAGGAGAAGCCACCAGTCGTGATTTGCAATGCTGACCTCCCTCCCTCAACACTCGACGCAACTGGCCTAACCTCGCCTTGCGTCGATCGGAAGGAGCACCAGAGGAAGATCTTTAACAGACATGGTATAACGAAACCGGGCGCCAGTGTGCGCATGCTAAATTATAGCAATGCGAGGAGCACCCCTCCTCCTAGCGTTCTTACCCGACCCAGACTGTCCAGAGCATTCTTGTCCCCGCCCTTGAGAAGCAGTGCGCTTGCGATGCCTGCACGGCCACGCCAAGCAGCGAGGTGGAGGGGTGCGTCTCCCTTCTTGTCCTTCGCGCTGGGACAGGCCCCTCCGAGTAGTAACGAAGACACAAGGTGTTCGTGCCCGCCCCTTTCGTGTGCGCAACACGTTATACGGGGGGAAGAAAGAGGATTGAGCAGTCCAGGTCACAGCGGATTGAGAGATATTCAACCACGTTTCGCCTTATCTTGGAAGGCCAAGATGTGAGAAAGTCATGAACTTGACCGGGTCTTGAGTTCGTTCTCGATGAACACCGACCTGAGAGTGCTGGGGCGTTTGTGTGCTCAGCCTAGCAGTATCGCAGCTCTATTTGTAAGCCCGAGTCTATGAGAAATCAGCCTTGGGGTTCCCACTCCCTTAGACCCACCCAACAACAAGCGAAAGCTCTGGCGTGTCTAGTGCTTTACGGCAACAAAAAAAACGCAACACTACCACCACCATCCACCGACCCCGATATTTTTCTTGGGGATTCTTGGGGTAGGTACTGCATTTCGGAGTTTACCTCACTGCGAGGGCTAGCGGGCCCCGCTTGTCAGCATCGAGCGAGCCGACGTTGGCCCCGGCCATCATCAGGACCCTGGCCGCGGCCTCATGCCCGTGGAGCGCCGCGCGGTGCAAGGCACTCCTGTTGTCGTGGCACGAAAACAAGGAACCCGTGGGTAAGGGAGCAGGGAGCAATGAGCCCGCAGGGATCAGATATATCTGGTATCAACGCCTGTCCTTGATGAATGGCTTGCGTGTTGCCCTGGTGCCGGCCTATCTATTGCAAATTGGAAATTCTACCCCCTCTGCCCCCTCGTTACACCGTCTCTCGCTCCGCTTACGGACCTTCGTTTGGAACCCGAACGCGCGCATAGATCCGGAGTTGCACCCGCCCTCAGGATAGTCGAAACCACTTGTTCGTTGCCGCCTTCTGCAGCAGCGTCGAGAAGAGTGCGGCCGCGGCAGCCTCTTAGACCTGGAGTTCCTGTGCCACCCGCTTTCAGAAGGGCAGTGACGAGCTCGAAGTTTCCATTGGCTGCTGCGTGTTCTATCTGCTTGGTTGATGCACGAGCGTGTGCGGATGGATGCATGTGACGCATGATTCATGCACGCGTTAGCGTGTTGTCGACTTTCATCTACATACAACATATATCGTGGCCCAAACCGTCACCACCAATGGTTGTGCAATTAAATTTGTCTATTCTGCAGCACGCAAGCCATGGGAAATCGAGGCAATCGTTTCTGTCGGTAGGGAAGTGCAATTTCCGGCACAACAAAGAACGTCATTGTTACGAAGAAATTTGTTTTTTTTTCTGTTCTTGTGGCAGCTGCTAGGCTACAACAACAGTCTAAAAGTATACCTATGCGTGTCATCCGCTATTCTTGATAGATAACCACGAACGCTACTGCCTTAACGCATCGAAGTTTTCCATTGCAACACGTTGCACGAATTTAGAACAAGTTGAGCCTACTGTACGAAACACGCATTTTCTAGAAATGTGCACGCATCCGCGCATGCATGTGGACACGGCAAGACATAACTGTTCTACAGCACGGTAGTTGAAAATGACAAAGAACCTCTCCGCCCATTCGGGAACCGTCACAATGTGGCACCTGCGTCGGAGCAACAACGAAAGAAAGTCTACAAGCGAAAATATTCCGGGATGCGGCAAATCAACGTCCGTCCGGTTCTTGTGAGTGCCAAAGCAGAGCTGTTCGCTCTTCGTAGGATACAGTACGGTAGCAATTTCCAAAGCCGGGCCGACGGCTCTGACAAGTACAGTCCACATGGTGTGACGAGTGATTGAATGCATCCGATCTCCATGGCCATTTCCTCTTACCAGGGCCTACAAGAGAGCCAGCGCAGCATATCTGTAGACTATCAAAACACATACACAGAGCGCACGCGATGTACACATCTCGGGTCGCCTAGTTTTGTTCGTGTCAAATTCGTTCTCACGACGATTCACCCTCCAAGACCCTCCAACACACAACACACACCTCATCGCAGAGGTTATCGTACCGGCGCTCGGAGCCAATCTGTCCATTGTCTGGGTGTTGCGTTGTCGATGACGAGGCCAACAACTTCCGAGCACAAAGCCCGAAGTGCGTCTCGCTCGGGGTAGCACACGGCGGGCTTCATTTCCGAAACGCTCGTTTGATACTCGTCCAGTCCGTGTAGGCTGATGCAGACACGGGCGTCGTTGATGCCGAAAAACTGCCGTTGCTGCTACTGCTGCTGCTGCTGCTGCTGCTCGTACTGCTGCTCCTATAGTACCAACCCAGGTGTCCTGCTTTGCTGCAACCCCTAACCCTACTGCCGAGATACGCATCATGGGTTCGGACGGGTAAATCCAAAAATAGATTCGATTCTATTTTTTGTTCCCCCGGGACTGTCGCACGGATCGACCAATCAGTAGGCAGTACCTCCCTCTCCAAATCCTGCAACCAAAAGGCAAGATGAACTGATAGCAGAGCGCATAGCACGACTCTTTCCAACTGGCACACAAAGACGCACACCCTTTACAGCAATAGTGTTCGAGCTACAATTCACAGCGAAGGCCCTCTCTGAAGAAATCATCTCAGAACTGCCGAAGAACATGATCGAGACGCCTGCACGACGAAGGGAACCACCGGTGGCGCTTCCCACGAAAAAAGGTACCGCTCTCTCGACTGGGAAGGGGTATGTGTGTCTACAGATGTGGGACAGGGGGGGGTGCAGGGATATCCTACAATTGATGCATTTCTGTTTTCAAGAGAAAACTTGAAATATGAATGATGGACCGTGTGTTGCGGCTACTGTAGGGTCCCATGTCTGTCCCCCGCATACCTAAATGAATAGGCATATTTTTTGTCATTTTTGCCGTGTAGATTATCCCAGCACGTGGATGTTGCTAAGCACGTAGGTACATTGTGGTGGACCCACTTTTATCATGTTGAAGAGGCGCTCGGGGCCCTAGAAAGGCGCGAGGTACTCGACGCAGGATACAGAGCACTACCTACATCAGTAGACCGGGAAAGCGGCGCCACGTAGACCGAGCACATAGCAGAGAGTATAATGGGAGGATGGGGAGGGTGCGCGTTAACCAATACATCCTCGAAATCGTGCAATCACAAAAACCCAGCAGAGTCAACCAATCACATGTGTTAAGAAACGGTCGGTAAGCTTAGACACGCCACCCTGACGAAGATCAACGAAACACCATGCTCTCGAGCTTGCCACGCACGCATCATAAAAAAAAAAACACCATGCTCTCGAGCTTGCCACGCACGCATCATCAAAAAAAAAAAAAAATGGTGCTGGCAAGCGCACAGACGTGCCTACTGTACTTCCATACGACAAAAAGAAAAAGTGAAGAAACTATTTTTGTAAACAGGGCCGCTGAGCGCTTACGTATGATTCTTGACGCACGCAAGTCTGCTACTTGATACGATGGTTAGTCTAGCCGTATACAGCAGTCGTGATGATGTCACCGCGCATTCCCTTCCCCGCCCCTCCCTTCCGCGCTATACGCCGTTCCAATGGACCCGACGAGTGAATGTTAGTCAAAGCGTACAGAAAAAAAATTACGAACGAGGAGCCTGTGCCGCTCATTCCTGTCGCAATTGCTGGTACACCCTACCCTACCGCTACATGAGGGCGGTTAGGCAGCCATCGGTCACCATAAGCAGAGGCGGATAATGGGGGAAGCCCTGTCAACTCCATCGACTATAACTCAACCGACCATAGGGTTGTAAGCGTACTCGCCTTGCTCGCGCCTGCTTTCTACACATTTGCGGTGTAAGACTCGCTTCAACGTGCCCGATACATCTATTTAGGCGTACGGGATGCAACAGCGCCCTATTGTACACGGGATCTCCAACTTCGTATGTACACACACAAGTGCCCAAGATAGCACATCGACAATACAAGTGTCGCAGACTGCACAGCAGTACCATCATACGGGGATGGAATTCAAGGAGTCCCCAGCAAACCAACCACCTAGAAGAGGCGCGTGAGAACACTGGTTACTCCGAAGTCTCATGGCCGAGCCTAGTTGGCAACTCTACGGCCGATGAAATCGGCAAGAGCTTCCACGATGATCCCCCGCTGTTCCTGCTCTGTGATGGTCGCCTGTTATATAAAGGAAGAGAAAACACGTAACAGGCTGTGTGTGCGAGACCATTCATGATGTGGAATGACATATGACCGTTGAACCATTTACCACTCCTACTGAATCCACTAGCCACTCGTGGGGGGAGGAATCAATCCCGCTTGTGTATCCCGCTATTTTACGTCCGGGACGTTCGTGGAATGTACGTGCTACTTTAGCTCGTGGCCATGCTTAAAAAAAAAGAGGTAGCAACCAATACCTGGCACACGTTGAAAGAGTGCCCCTCACATACCCATCGAGAATAGAAAGAAGGTTCAGAGCGTGTGGCGTTTCCAGCCCAACTCGAACTAGTTAGCTCGGGGCTACGAGAACGCCTAGGCTGCTTCTGTCGAAAGCATGAATTCCCTCGGATCTTAACTTTGCCATTCTTCCGGCCTAGTGCACTTTGCAAGGAAATCACAAAAAGGTGGAATTTGCGCCGCTCCTGCTTGCATACTACCTCAAACCGAATTGTCTTCCAGTGCGCTCGCCGTGTGTAATCAACATCAGGAGCAACCGTGTGCGTACTTGACGTTTTATCCAACGTGTGTGTGTGTGTGAAATATTTCTACATGTCTCCCCCCATCTCTTACACGCACACACGAACCCATCACCTGCCAGTCAAGGGGCTGGCTCTTGTACGAACCGAAACCTCGGTGGCTTCCTCCTTCGACCACGACAATTTCGGCGTCCTTCGGCAGCTTGTCGGCGGATCTTGCCAGAGCCTGCTTTCGTCGTGCAGACATCACGCAGGCGACAAGTGGTTGTTGGTTGACGGTCGCCGGTGTGTGTATACGTTGGTGGGACGTGAATCCGAACGACAGTCAACTGGCCTCTCCACCGTAGACAACAGGCACGTGTATAACTAGCTGTGTCCCAATTTCTTCGCAATCGCAAGCACTAATGAGAACGTACTGAATGTGAGATAGTAGAACAAGTACGTAAACCCACAGAAACCGAAATATCTCAGCCTCTACCGCCGAAATTGCACTCACAACAGAATTCGCCAAGCGACATACTGCACCGATCCGTCTTGTGCAAATGGCAAACAAAGACGAGAGCACAAGTGAAGTGCGAACACATTACAGTGCGAAACAAACAGCAACCCGACATCAACCCTCCACCGCCGAAATTAATGTCACGAAAGAATTCGCCAAGCGACCTACTGCACTGGTTCGTCTTGTAAATGGCGAAGAAGGACGAAAGTATCCACACGCGTGTCGTGTATACCACGGCGGAGAGCACGGATTTTTTTCTTGCGGTTTGCACCTCTGCCGGAACGAACGGATCGCGAGAGCCTCTCAGGACCATGGCCGGCACTTCCGACCCCTTAAGGGCGTCGCCGATCATGTTGCCGCTGCCCATGTACACCACGCCGTCCACGATCTCCGGATGTTCTGCGTAGAACTTTCACACGATCGCGCGAACGATGAGTGGATGCGAGTTCGCCCAGCGACTTCGCTTGCTACAGGTCAACTCAATCTCGTCATTTCTTTCCTGTTGTACAACCCACCGGTGTGTCTGCCTCATTGTGACATGGCACCAGGAGCAACGCCTTTGATTTGTCAATGTGATGATGCACGTCACAATATGCGGGGAAGAGATGCCCAAGCGCTTGTCCAAATAGTCTGTTGCCGATCAGGGCTGCACTAGCTGGCTCGGGTTTGCGCGCCATCATCTCTCTGCGTTGAAAGCTTTGTTAACAAGTCAATAATGTTCATTAACGAAAGGCTTCTACTTATATCACGGCAAGAAGAGAACGATTTTCTCACCATCTCGATGCCCACCGTGCCCATGGAGTGTCCCGCGAGCACCCACTTGGTTGGCCGCGAACCAACGGCGGAGCAGCTCGCTCCTCGTCCCTCACCGTCTGCTGCTGGTGCCGAGCGCGAGATAATCTCGCTGGTTGCTTCCCACCCCTTGGTTGCTGCGGAGACAAACAACGCAGAAACAACGGGGTGTATGGGTGCAGTCCTACTCCGCCGAGAAGAAAAGCTCATCAGCCATAGGACTTCTATAGCGTCCCCAAAAGATAAAAATGCCAAAAAATAAACACGAAACACACCCAACCGCCAAATACTCACAACGCCCGCATCAGAACTAAATGAGAAGCCCTGAAACGCCAGAAAGAAGAAGCAACCCTCCCCGCACCAAACGCCCCGTCCTCCCGGAAACACCGCCCACGAAAATTCGCCCCAGCAAAATTTCACGTGTGCCCAGCGAAGGCACTGCCAGTTGGCCACCTGTGTGTACATACTACCCGCTGCCGCAGCGCAGGTTCTCTGAGCCCTCGCGTAGCAGGCATGTGTATGTCGAGGTCAAAAGCGTGCACAGATGGAGAGCATCACCGCTCAAGACTGACCGGTAGGAAGAACAACGAGGGCGAAAGTGATGCAAAGTTTCGGTTCCCTGAAACTGCTGTAAACCAACCTACAACGTGGGTCGTGGTTGATGCAGTCGACAGAGGGAGCCAGAACCCGAGCTCAGGGAAGAGTAACGGACAATCTAACGAAGGCGTTTGTCGCACACAATTAAAGGTTGGGGTCCCCGGATGCCAAACTTGGGCCCCTGCATCGCGTTGGAACTGGCCGTAAGCAGCGTCACGCCCGACCATCTAAACCCGACCCGTCGCAAAGCATTCTTTCAGACCCCGAGGGGGGGCAACGCATCTTTCAACCCCCGGGGTCCCCCCCCCGTCCTCTCGAGGACGCGTAGTCAATGGTCTGCACGAGCTAGGTAGCCCAAGTGCATTTGAGGGGGATGCATGCTGTCGTTTTCTGACATACAGCTGTGCGCGCTCGCTGGCTTCTCTCTCTCTCTCTCTCTCTCTCTCTCTCTCTCTCTCCCTCTCTCTGTCACTACGGTGCCTAAAAACCATTGCAATAAAACAGGACAATCGAGACAAGACGTGTCGCAACCCTACGCGGGTTGTCGTATCGCCATTCGCTCGCGGCGAGCGATGCTTGGAGATGATCCTTGCTTCTGCTGCCGCTCGCGATTTGCCGGCTCTCTCACTCACCCAGGTTGAATTCGAACCGCAAGATGTACGAGGGGTATCCCTTCCGAGCCATGGTGCGAGCGAGAGGGGCATATGCCGACGGGGGAACCAGGGCCCCGGGGAAAATCACCACCTGGCACGAGGAGGTTTAGCGCGCCGCGCGAGGGAACGAGAGGTAACGTGTTCGAGAGGAAGTGAGCTTCGTTTGTGGGGGGGAAGGGAAGGATAAAACAGGAGTAGCTGAAATGAGGTGTTGTCGGGTTTGGGAGAGAATGGCAGAAACACCGAGGCTGCAAGAGCAACAGCCCACCGTATTCAATCGGTCAACAGACAAGAAGGCGACCCAAAAGGCTAACGCACGCCATGTCTACAGTTTAGGGCCAATGTCCTCTGAGTAGTAGCAGAGCGTGGGCATGGGAGTGTGCAACCCCGTGAAGAGAAAAGGTGAACGAAGCCGCCCCCTTCGCACGTTTGAGGGACACCTGCTATCGCAGGGGGTCCATCGAGACGGAGAGGTGGTAGGTGGGGAGGGACTGCTGTACCAATGCTGTTGTATCTCGTTGCATACCACAGCCGGTCCCGTCTCTAATCCGTGTCGCTTGTCTCGTCGAACAACTAAATATTTGGTACTCTCACAATCGTCCATCACGAACAAACCAATGGCAGCCGCAACGAAAACAGCATGCTTCTCCTACCTACAAGCGTCTGCAACCAGCAAGCTTCACGAAACGAAGGCAGTTTCATTCGTGCTGGCGAAACGGCAGCACGAACCTGACACACCCGCTCACCCCTGTGCGATGATTTTTGCCGCTTGTCGTGTCTGCCTCCCCACAGGCTTGCGCTTCGGGTGGGGGCAAGAACTCCAGGTAGCTGCCGGTGTCCATCACCTGTTGTTGTTGTTGTTGCTGTTGTTGTTGTTGTGTTTGTCGTCGCCGTTGTCTCGCTGCTGCCGTCGTATTTTAGTGAAATAGGCCAGGGGTTTCGATATTCTAATCGGCGGTACATCGTACCCATATACCGTAATCACACCCAAACCCCGCTACAACACTATCCTCCAGCGAAAAGGCCTCCGGCGGAATCTTTCTTAAATCTCTGCAAAATTACACACTTTCGGGAAAAACTCTGTTTGCTTCCATGCTTGTTTTCAGCTCTCACCGCAACGCCGTCTCCCTCCCAGCCCGCGGGCCCCCTTGCCGTTGATGATGCCGTCACGCGCGCTGCCGCGAGGGCCTCGTCCGTCGAAGCCTTCGGAAGCAGGGTAATGGAGCCGAACGTGAACTCCGCCAACCCTCGCCAGTGGCTCAGAAGCGAAGGCTTCCCCAGGGGGTCGGAGTAGTAGCCCACACCGTCCCTGCGGTCGCCCACGCTCTTCCACAATTGCTTTTCGCGTCGTGGCAGCGAGGGGTTGGAGAGGAGGAGGCAGGAGCGGGCCGGGGAGGGGTGGGGGGGGGGGGGTGTACTCATAGTCGTGCATGCCGTAGTCGTTTGACCATTGACCTCGCATCCCTACAAAGCCGGGACGGAGCACGCCGGGTTCTCACCGGACCAGGCTCTCACATCACCAAGCGCGAAGCGCCGTGAGGTATTTGGCGAGTCGCATGAAGGGTGAGCTGCATCCTGCTAAGGGTGTTCGGCATCTTGTGCTTACTTCCTTGCGTACGGATGACAGCTACGTAAGACTTAATTTATTTTCTGGTGCTTTCACTTCCAGAGACAGTTGTAAGCACTGTGTAACTGCCTCGAGGAAGCTTGACCATTTTAACACAACGTGGTACGATCATCCCCCGTTGCGCGGAGTGAAGTTTCTCGACCCCGCACAACATGATCTACTCGACCACCATTGTGGTTACCGCCAAAAAAAAAAAACGAGGTAAAAAAAAAAACGGTAACCTGGTTGCCGAGTTCACGAAGTGAATTGGCTTGTTTTACAACGTCGTTGCCAAGCGACGAAAACCCAATCCCGATGGCAAACACCGAGGGGGGGTGGGGGGGGGGGTACTCATAGCCGTGCATGTCGTAGACCATTGACCTCGCATCCCTATAGAGAGGGGGGGTGCTTGGCACTGAGTGGGCAGAGGCCCTCGGCTCGTCGAATTGCCCACAAGAATGATGGGGTTCGAGGTCAGGCGTGACCTTGTTCTTTCCGACGTATCGTTTCTCAAGTTAAAAATATGTTCTTATGGTCGTCAGATATCACAACAACAACGCGTTCATTTCATTTGTTTTTGGCGGGGTGTGAGACTCACGTTTGGCACGAAGCTGAGGGCGAACGTGAAGCTACGCCAGAAGGATACCCCCCGCCTCGCGAGCCAGCCCAAGCCCGTCCAGGCGACATCAGCCGCCTGCGTCAGCATGTCTCCGGCCATTGTTTGTCCTCTGGCGACGTGCAGCAGCCCGCTCCCAGTATTGCCGCCGCAGTACAATTGGTGGAGTCTGGACAGGCGGGCGGAGTTTGTACTCCTGCTTAAGACTTGTGGGTGGCCTTTCCCCCTCCCCAGAAGTAATTTGAAACCCCGAAGGTCCGAAGGTGTACGTGCTTACTTCGTGGGTTTGACACGTTGTTCATGTTCTTCGAGGCATTTTTTGGCTATAATCGCCGACACCAATGTTCGCAACAAGCATGGATATACAATAATAATCGTATGAGTCTTGATCTCAATGAGGACTCCCGCGCCAACCGTGGCCCCATCTATTGATTCCCTCGCATCGACTAATAAATGATTTGTGTCATTTTTGGTTGGGACCAAACCTGCTGGTGTCGAGCGTGCCCCTGGGGCACGACAAAAAAAATGTACTGCTGTACATCGGATCGTTGGTTGCATCTCACTTTACATCGGAAACTCAACTTGATGTTGTTGTTTTGAAATGTGTAACACACCGAGATCGCCGGAAAGACCAGCAATCTTTCAAAAACAGCTTACCTTCACCACACAGACAGACCCAAACCTCTACCTACTAGGTGCTTTGGACAACCCGTCGTTCGGGGAGTTACGGCGCGCACACATGCTTGCTAGCCTAAGTGTATTAGTTTCCTTGAACTCAAGTCCGTAGCCTGCGATGCCCCCCGTCTCCAGCAACAGACCTGAGCGTGCCAACGCGCACGTCGCTACCTGCTGTGTGATGCCCTCTACATGTATATACCGCACGTCAAGGTCAGGCTCCGCACGTCGGCCGTTTCCGACTTGATGAGACCCCCCTCCGAAGCAATCACCCGTCCGTGATGAACGCGTGCCAAGAAATTATTTGTTTCACGGGCCGAAGGTTGGCCGACCCGGTGATAACGCACGCCCTCATCAACAGCCATCGAAAAACACCGCCAAATCTGAGAGGTGTCATCAAAACAAGGACACTCTGGATACCGTGCAGTCAGTGTCGCTACTCACCCCTGTGGCCTGGGTCGATTGGTGTAGGTCCTGTGCTGTGTTCTCTTTGTTGGTCCAGCTTCCACCTACCGCTCGCTGTGTCGGCGGCATAAAATTGAGGGGGGTTTTTGGGGGGTTTTGCTCTTCGTCGGGCGAACTGGATTGTCAGTTTCGACCAATGAGCTGCTGGTCAAGAGAGCTCGATATAGGAGGGTGGGAGGGAGACGGCATGTGTGCTCATGCGCTACTCCGGATTCTTACATATTACCACAGGGACAGAATGCAGAATCTGTAAGGAATCTGTCGTCGACGGCTTCGCTATTTTATCCCCGTGGTACGTGTACATCACGAGTACCGAGGCAGTAGCAACCGATTGCAGCAACGTACTGACAAATCACTGCTGTGATTTTCGCATTGCCCGCATTCGTGTCTAGACTATTAGGTGCATGAGTGTTCCAATAGGATATATCTGTAGGTCACCTACATATCTATCCTGACATGTTCGAGGTTAGAACGGCTAGAATGCTATGGAAAGTGTTGTGCCGCTGCTGTGCAGCAAGGTTACGACAACCTCCCGCAATTGCAATCAATGCGTCGGTCGGTAAGAATATTTGGAGTATCCGCTTGCCTTCAGACGGATTTTGGGATCTTGCGACGGAAAGGCCTCAAATCTGGCCTATTTACATCCCACAACACGAAGAATATGTGATCTGCAGACACCTCGATGACAGACAGCCGCAACTTTCCTCGAAAAACGACAAGGTGGTTCGGATAAGAGTCGAGGCACCAGCCTTTTCCCAAAGAGGTCGAAATGACAAAAAGGGCCGTTTTGCGGAGGGAAGAAATATTTTCATCTCTCGTGAGGGAACACGGGCGTAGACTTGCAAGTCTGTCGTTGAACACAGCCCAAACAGTGTGTGGCGTGTCGTGCGTCTTTCATGCTGGCCAATGGAGGCCCAAGGTGTTCCCTCTGATGCAAAAGCTCTTGTTCCGGATATTTCGAGGTGCATTGACCCCGGCCGGCAAAAAATGATACTCCATGCAGTATGAGGTGTAGGAGTAGATGCATACAACGAGAGAGAAACGCCCTCTCCAGGTCCTCTGTTCATCCATTGCATGCCTACCATATTCAACCGGTCAATGCACAAGAAGAGCGCGTCTAGGCCACTGCAAAGAGACCAACCTCTTATTTTGGGCAAATTTCTATTTACTCTGTGGGGCAACCATCAGAATCAAAGATTGTTGTAAGATTGGGTGGCTCCAAGTTCAACTTACTTGAATGATTATTTTTCCTTGAAAAAAACGACGACACACCAGAAGACAACCACAATTCGGAGCGCCCGGCATCAGAACATGCGGTAAATACCGTAAAACATTGCTACTGCTGTGTTCGACATTACAGCAGCAGCAGCAGCAGCAGCAGCGGCGGCGGCGGCGGCAAGGAGCGGCTGCAGCGACTACGCACATTCATACAATGATATTGTTCTTTCTGCTCCTCCCATTCCCGTTGTCGCCACACGCCATCGGAACGGCCCCACTGTCCCCCCGCAGGATACAAGGCACAGGATTCGAAGGCACACGAAGGGCCGGTGCCCGCACCGTGACAAATGTAGCGAGAAGTCACGCCAAACACTGCCTGCACTCAGTTGTTCTTCTCGCCATCCCCCCCGCCCCCGCACGGCGTAGACTATGCTGACTACGGTTCCATCATCGCGCCCACTGATCCTCTAGCCCCGCTCAGTGCGCACACCCACCGTGACAAGAGGTTTGGGTTGCCTTGCTCTTAAACGGGGGTGAAGTCTCCCTCACTCCTTGATTGAGGAGAACGAAACTCTGGTAGCCCCTTGGGTGCTAAATAAAAAGGAGCCACGAACTAGCTAGCTGGTCGACCAAACACCTACTTACACACACACAATTCTTCCGACACTTGCCCGACGTACAACAAAAAGCAAACAAACGAGACAAGAAGCGAAACTAAACTAAGGTACCCCCCCTCTATGTTAGAACGTCGCCCCCCAGGCAAGCAAGCCTAGCTTCATCGCAGTAAATATCTGGCGAGCCAACCTACTCCGCTGCTACTGACGTGTCTCGAAATCAACACTTCATTCAGCCTACTTGCGCCAGACAGTTCGCGCCGCACGCTCGATGGGAAAATGCGACGAGGAATCGAAACCGCGTACCCGAACAACCAGAGGAGGACTGGTAAGTTGCACCGCACTTAATACATTGGAAAGGCGCATTTGAAGGTGGATCAAAAACGCAGCACGCCCAACTCACGTGAGCGCTAGGAACAAGACGCCCCCCGTCACGAATAAATACTCCAGCAAAGAGCTTGAACTAGCTGGCAACACGAAGTTTAAACGGTGGGTGTGCCTGGGCACGCCCTTCCCACCAAACAAGAGAGCAGCGCTAGCTGTTGTTCTTCCTCTACTGCAAGCTCCTCGTGAGCAACAAAACTCGACAGTCTCGCCACAAGAAGCGGGGTCAGGCGACAATGACAACCACGAGATAACACGACAAGAAACATATTCGTTCCGTGGCAGCTGCACGCTCATCCCAGCCCCCTTTTTCGGCGAAAAAAGGTGCTGCCGAAACACCAAGGCAGTGGTGCGAAGGGACGGGGGGCAAAGCAGAGACTTCTTCAGCTACACGACGAACAACAAAAAAATCAAACCACCACACAATCCTTAGTACACCGAACTGTAGCCCCCCGCCCTACCGGCATGCGCCGCTGTTCCAGTCTGAAGCAACTCCAGCTGGCGGGCCTGTCAACTGAGTTGAGGGAGGATCGGCAACGCGCAGAGAAACGGCCGAACCAAAAAAAAAAAAGGCGACCCAGAGCAGCTGGGGAGGCCAGGTGGTGCCCTTCCTCCCCCTCTACCTCTGTCACTAGCGCCCCCCCCCCCCCTCGAGGATTCGCCCCGGCATTGCCCGCCCGCCCCACAAGGCCATTCCGAGGACAGCCGCGTTTCTCGCCCGGCGAGGTAAAGGCACTTCATGATCTCCGTATCCGAAAACGCGGGTGGCATCTGTTCGAGTGCCTGCTGCCCCCGCCCCCCGTGCCGCCTTCGTTCCCCTCAGCCAGGCCCTTGCTATTTGTCAAGCGACCCATTAAAAAGATTCGAAAAACCCTCCAACATAGTGTACAGTTCTCAAAAAAGAGGTTAGAAAGGCTAAAATCGAAGCCGAAGCAAGACTCCCGCAGAGCCCAAAGCCCGAGCGAAACATACCGATTCGCAGAAAAGCAAGCAATCTCGTCCCTTCATGCGGTAGATACTGAATACATCCGGGGGGGTCACAAGGACGGTTTGCGAATCCGAAAACACGGCCGTTACTCTCTCTCACTTACGGCATAGAGTCGTCTGTGACCCTTACTGACTCGAAACGAGCGACACAGCTCGTGGAAAAAACAAATCGAAAGTTCTACGCCACTACGCTCTATTGCGCACAGCAGTGCTCGTGAAGCACAACCAATCACCAAAGCGAAACGGGGCTGGAAGATTGTTGCTGCGGCCTTCTCGTTATTGCCCGCTCAGCTGATCCCCCCCCTCCCTCCCGAAGACACGACCCCCCCTATCCGTACGAACACATGCCCCGGTCCTTTTTATCTTGTTCACTCTCGGCTTTGCCCTCGAATCCTGCGAGCTAGCTGGAAGTCCCGGACCTTCGTTTGCCATACAACAGAATACAGCGGCGGTACACATGAGGAGATAGGGTCGGGGAGAGCAAAACAGCAAAGAACAACACACGGTTAGTGATACCCTCTCCGCACAACGATTCCATCGCGTTGTGGTGTGTCGGCTTCAGCCATTGTTAGACAGCGTGAACGTGGCAGAAGCCTGCCTGCCTCACGCTTGTTGAGGAGGTCTTCCTCGGCTGCGCACCCAACCCCCCAAGAACGCGTCTTTCATGCCTTCCCCAACAAAAATCAGTTGGTTTACGTATATGGTCTGGTCTCCAAGCAGAAGCACCTGATCAAGCGAAAAAAAAAAAATGTGCCTTGCTTCGCACCCGAAACAATGGAAGGCCATCCTCCTCTCCGCGAAATAAATCATCGTTCGCATGTAGGCGCCGTTACCCCACGTAGGCGCCGCTACCCCAACCGCCGAGTGCAGTGCATCTAATGCATGCAACCATCGTCTCGCTATTTTCCGTGCACCCTTCCTTCCCTCCCTCACTCACTTTGCTTCCAGAACGCTACTCATTCGGGGCTCGACGTTGTCCTATCCTCTTGCAACTCGTCTACGAATCGGATGCCGAGAGGTTCTACCGCCATTCGCGCGTCGTCCAGAGTACAAGTCATCCGTGCTTTCACGCGGCAGTTTGGAGCAGATAGATCGTGACGACTCTCACCATTATCGTCACTCGCTTGGCGTGTAGTGCGCAGAGGTTTGCGTCCTCGAAGAGAGACACTAGGTGAGCTTCCGCCGCCTCCTGTGTGTTTCGGCAACAAAACAACAAGAAAGTAAACGCAATCCGGAGACAGCGTACAGAAAATGACGAGCGGTTTATAAAGACACACATATAGATGTTGCCTTTGACTGCTGTACAATCCCCACCAGTCCCCCCACCAGCCGAAAGTCGCGCCGCCTAAAAGAAGACTTGCGAGTGGTCATGTCCATTCATTGCCAAAATATATAAACATACTCGGGCTCATTTTCAGAAAGGCGGGTGACACGAACGTTCACATTGGCGTGGAGCGTATTTCTTTCCACTACAGGAAGACGACATCATACCAATGCAGAGGTTGTAGTCCGTAACAATAACAACCAGCAGACCCACCCGCACCCCTTCCGGCTTTGGGAGGGATCTCCGGTGCTTATGTTTAACCTTTGACGGCTGCTCACAGCAGGCGGAGAATCTTTCTTTGTAAACATCTTCTGACCCAGAGAAAATTGTTCGTAGGGCTTCTGATCCTCATTGTACTGGTTGTACGTACGTCACTACCACTGCTAGGAAGATACCTTTATCCTGGTTTCCACGTTTCACTCGATTGTTGGAGGATAAAAAATAAAACTCTGTGTGGCCTTCTCCCTGCAAGCCCTGGGCTAGTGCGTCCGAAAACATACCAACAGGCGAAAACAAATCAGCGTCCACAAAACTAGGATGGTAAGGAACTCCATATCCGTTCAACAGTCACTCCTCGAACAGCTTTCAGCGGCGAACCGTAGGTTGCATAAGATATCACACCCCCTGGACCGATTTTCGAAGCTCGATTTCTCGGCAGGAAAAGCAGTGACGGCGTCGAAAAATGGCGGCATCGGAACCGTCTCGTCGAGAGCTTCCCGAAAACGTATACTTCGATTTCGGCATCCTCTTCGTCGTGGAGTAATCGAGCTTTGAAATTCGGCCCAGGGGGTGTGATATCTTACGTCATGTGACCTACGGTACGCTGCTTGCTTCGTACCAGCAGTGCATGCAACGCGACACGCAGAAGGGTGGACATGGTCCTCGCACCTGTAACGCCAGCAGAGCCGCCGCCTGCCACCGGTACGACTTCCCTGCTGGTGTCAACGTCTCCTGCACCTCCTTCACCTGCGTGAGGAGGAAGGAAGGCCACCGCAATAACAACAACAACAGTAGCAGCAGCGGCAACAACAGCAGCGATTTACGATACATACTCGGGTTCTATTACATTTTCGATAGGTTGCTGCACAGATGGATGGGGAAAAAAGTGGGAGCGAAGCGAAAGTTACCACCAACAACAGTGACAATAGCAACAACAGTTGCAGTGACAACAAAAGAACAACAACAACAGCAGCAACGCCACCACCAACAGGTAACACAACAATACACTACGCACCAACCGTGCGAAAGGGAGCTTCCTCAGGAGCAGCTCCGTCGTGCGCTGGTAAGCCCTGATCTCCTTCAAGGCCCGCTCCCCTGGACGGAAACGCCTTCGCTTCCGAGGTTCGCCGCCGTCAGCGGATCCCCCGCCTCCCTGTCTTGACGCCAAAGTTTTCCTGGTATTAACAACAACAAAAAACCGTGTAATTGGTGCATTTGGCCACCAATCAGTGCGTTGGTTTCGTTTCAGTTAGATGGAGGAATCAAGGCGAGGAGGTACGTATATACAAGACCAACGAAAACGTGGGACTAGATACAGTCTTTGGTCGTTTACACGCCACAGAAGGACGAAACACTTGACTTGTCGGAAAAGGAACAACATATATTGTTCATGCAACTTTGCGTATGTCCATCTAAAGCTGATGTTGCTGCTGCTGCTCGTAGCAGTAAGTAAGTTACGGAAGGCAGCTCGGTTCATGTCGAATCTAGCGATCTAACTCGCGCGTGCCCGTGTAAGTATTTAGTACGCTATTATCGACAATCGCGTCGATATCGGCTGGTGCAAGAGCGAAAAATGTCAGAAAGCGAGCGGGCGAGACCGTTGGAAGTTCGGCCACCTTGTAGACTGTCGGGCTCCTTTATACACAAAGGACTTTTGCACAAGCAGTTGAAGAGACGCCTTTCGGAAGAAAGATAATCACGTCAGAAATCAGGCAGCGCTATTCAAGAAAGCAAGCACCTCAAGGCTGTTGCTTACGAGGTCAGGAGCATGCACTTAAAAGCGAGTTGAAGGAGACAGGCGCTGTTCTCTAAGAGAGAAGCAAACGCCGTGTGTTGGACGACAACCAGGTGGTTTCTAGCTCAAATGTCTGAACATAGCCTTGGTGGTGGCCGAGGAAATACATGCCGTCGATCAAGAAACAAGAAACAGAGACATGATCAACCTGGGTTTGGTTGGACGGCTTGGTCTACAAGTAGGCTACATTCACAGGCGAGTGCGGCGAACACAGCAGTCCTACGACGTGAGTAGGCGATGCCCAACCTTGATCTGAAGCAATAAGAAAATGAGGGGTCGAGGGAGTTTGTTTGGCGTCACGCACTCCAGTCTACAGCTGTAGTTCTCATTTTGTAAGCGACCACACTGCTGTAGCGCCGCCTCTCTCACTCCAATTTCCGAGTTGTCAGGACTTCGAAGAAATGCTCACTTTGGCGTCAATTCGCATTCATCACCGACCGCTGCTGCAAGCAGTGAGATAGAAGAGAAAACTCAACCTAGCGTTGTATTCGTCTACAGCAGCAGTCCAACCATCAGCTGCGGTTTCTGAGATGCAGCCTGCATGATGGACATGAAGACGTTCAAGATCACATGTGGATACAAGATGCACACACAGGAAAGAAGAAAATACATGTAGCTCAAATACTCCTGCTGATGTGCACACACCCGCGCTTGTACCTACCTCAAAATTGTGTGAAAGGACTCAAATTTTCTCGGTCACCGATACACCAGCAAACCTTTGACTGGCAGCAACATGTAGAGTTCTGCCATTTGAAACTCTCCATAGAGGTGGAGATCATGCACAAGACACATGAGGATGCATAGTGGTGAATTCCGCGATGTTTGAAATACGATGCGTGCACCCCCGCCTCCGCCGCCCGGCGCCGGCGTTGTCTGCACCTCAAGACGGTGTGTGCAAACCACACCCCGTTCCCTCTTATCAACAACACAGCAGCATCAACCTTTGACTGGCAGCAACATGTTGAGCTCTGTCATTTGAAGCTCTTGAGGTGGGGAGCGTGCAGGCGTTTGTTGCGAGAGATGCGGCCTCGTTTCGGCTATCTTCTCCAACACCAAAACAACCTTCATTCTGTGAGGCTCCCGCTGTACGCTCACCGAACAGCTTTGTTCCAAAACGCGAAAACACGCACACCAACATCCAGGGCGAGCCGCATGACCACCGCCGACTACGTCCAACACAAGATCGAACCACTCGGGCGGAAGGGCCGGTCAAAGTTGCAAGCGGCAGAGTACTCCGAGCGATGCTTTTCCCGCACGGAGCAACGCAGCGTCGGTGCAGAGAGTGGGGGACCCCACCAAAAACACTTGCAAAAAAAAACGCGCGCAAAAATAGATCTGGCTTCACAGACACACCTCGGCGACTTGGTGGACTTGCTGCCGCCGACCGCCTTGTTCTTGGTGTGTTTGAGGCGCGCCATTGGTTACCCAGAGCCCCTGCCCTTCGCACGCTTGGAGCCACGAAAACCTCGCGTGCTTGATGACGTGCTTTCCGTGTGCTCGTTGCTGGCTTGCCCTACCGAGCCCACCCTCGCTCGAACTGAGCGCGCGCGTTGGTTGAAAAAAACGCCACATGGATAGCCTTGAACACCCGATGATGATGATCTCGCCCTTTTTTGGCGTTGCAAACACTTCAACAAACGCCTACGAAGAGGATCGATAGACTTTGCCTTGCTGCTTCAGAAGCGCCGTATTATCCTAAGCGAGGTGAGGTCGTGGTCGGACGTGGTTTCTTGGCTCTGTTTCCAATCTATTGCTGCGTTTTGATCTGCGATTTCACGCATGGCATATCTTCCGATGGCTGGTGACTGGTGAAAGTTGCGCCGCGTATCGCTATTTGAGGAGACTTGCCCTTTGGCCGACACACAAGCAAACCACGGCAAACGATGGTCGTTCTTTGAGTCAACTAGTGTGTCCTTAGTGGAGAGAGTTTCGAACTGCGGCTGCACGTGTGCGAGGGGCTGTAGTGCCGCCCACTGGCAATATTTTCGAAGCCCCGAAACAGAAAAGGCCCAGGTCCAAGTACATTAGGGCGGTACTGGTTACATCCAGAGATGACCTTGTGAGGAAGTGTCTACAAACCTGCCTTGTTGTGTGTGGTTTCCCGTGTCTGCGTGCACCCCGCGAGTCGACTGAGAGTACTTCTGTTGCGTTTCTGGGAGGTGGCTTCTCCGTGCAACCAATGGACAGCCCGGGTTGTTGTCTGTGCACTGCACGGGGTGTGGTATCTTGCGTCACCGTGATGATGTCCGTGTGGTGCTGGTGTGTACAACTCAGTTATAGGCTTTGAGTATTTGATGCAAACACGACCATGACACCAGCAGCAGCAACAACAACACCTAAATGGTTTGAAGGTATAACAAGAATAAACAACAAATGGGACACAAGGAAAACACCGTCATGCTCTACACCACTATTTGTAGTTGCTGCGGGCGACCCTTTGCCGCGGCATCTGCGTGTGTGGGGAGTGCGATTCCGCTGCGAATGGTGGAAGAATCTTCTGGAGGTTGGGGAAATGTGTCCACGAAGACTCGCCCAACTCTTCACTCCACCCTTTAGTAGCTTGACTGACTTCGCTCGGTCCCGCTTGGCATTCCTCGCCACATTCCGACAATGGATACAGCCAACTTATGGTCACAGGGTCATGGCTCTGGGCCCTACGCTCTCCCGAAGTTGAGGGCTCTGTATTGAAGACGACCAAGAATGTTGCTGTTTTTTTTGTTGCGCTTGCACCAAAATCAGGCCTCTCACCACGACGCCAATGTTCACGGAGGGAATCGCCCTCAAACAGGCAAGCAGGCGTTGGCGAGATTCTGCCGTTTTTGAGGGAGATGTCCGCAGAATAAACAACGACCCCCAAGAGCAGAAAGTTGTCGAGCCCTTCCCTAATCCCAAGCAATCGCGCCCGACGTAGCGCAGGTCTTGCCTCGGCACAGCAGCACAGACCGTGCTGCGGGCCGTCTTCGATACTGAACACCCAAGCAAGGGCAGGCGGGAAAGGGAAGGCGGTAAATCTTGTGGCGCTATGGCGAAGCCGGAGTTCACGGTTGGCAAGAACATGGACCACCCCCACCTGAAGGGGCGGTTCACGCTGAGGATTTGGATCCCCGTGGAGCAGACCGCCATGGTTATTGGCAAGTGCGGCCAGATCAAGCAAGAGCTGGGCGTCAAGTCTATCGACTGTCCGGTGAGGCGCGGCACTCGCCGTTGTTGTTGTTGTTGTTGTTGTTGTTGTGTTTACTGATGATGCTGATGGTCATGTTGCATGTTGCCGTTATTGTTCTTGTTCTGGTCTTGATGTCGTCGTCGTTGTTGGATGCTGATGCTGTTGTTTTCGTTTGCACCGAAGAGTTTTCTTTTGGCGCGGTGATTAGGGCCGATCTACTTGAAATTACTTACTTTGTAGATGGATGGGCCACACGCCTGATGACGCGAAGGGCAAGCACGTTCCGGTCAAGCAGACCCCAATCACCCATTTTACATTTTAAGAGTGCTGCCCTCCTACTCTTAGCGCGGGCAACGTACCGGGAAGAAGGTGCACCCACCTTGTGAGTATGAAGAGGGGTCAAGGGCCTTTTGAAGAGCAGCACAAACTGAATTTTGCCTCCAAAAGTGACACGACGCCTCCCGTCGTAGATGCAAAGAACGAAAAACGAGCCGCCCGGGCGTAGGCTCTTGCCGGCGAGAAGCGCTCTTGCTGGGTGAGCTACAAGGAATACCCAAGGCTTCCGTCGTGGGGGTGTCGACGGCCTCACGATGAACTCTGTGTAGCAGGTCGGTAGATGCAACCCACTGCGCAGCGGCACAGCGGCACATAAATCCGTGGGGGCAAAGCGAAACCCCGCTTGTCATGTGTGATTGTGACTTTTGGCTTAGTCAGAATACAGCAGCGCCTTGGGAAGTTCTTCGCTGCAACCGACATCTGCTGAAACAAATGGTGTCTCAGCGCTCGTTTTTTTGTTCGTTTCTGTTTTTTACTTTCTCAAACATCGTTACAACTCGACCTTACCAGTCTGTCAGCAACTGCAAGCAGTGCTTGAAGAATCCGAACCCCCACCCCCCTTCACCTCCGGTTCTTCCACTTGCCCCCCTTCGGGGGGATGGACAGGTTGCGCCGCCCGGCCTCTTGTGGTCGCCGGTAGTCATCACGGGTGACCCTACAAGCTCGTTCAAGGCCTATAAAGCCATGGCCGAGATCGTCGAAGGTGCGATCTGCTTCCCGTTGTTGTTTTTTCTGTCGAGCGCCCTTTGCAAGATTCGAAGAGCTTCAAGGGAGGGAGGCCCATTGGTTGTGTGTTTGCTGTCTGCCCATCCCGACTGGTCTTGTGATGCTGTGGTCATCGCCAGCTCTAAGGTAGTTTTCCTCCCTGGACCCACCGCGGTTCTGATTCAGCGGCAGCAAAACGTGTGGACAGGGTGCTAGCTTGGCGGCCTGTTTAGCCATTGTTGTGTGCGCACCCTTGTTCATGGGACCAAAAGCAAGGAGTACGTTGCTTTCAGGCAGGCGGAAATCCTCCGGCTTAGGAAAGAATGCGGAGGCAGTAGACTGCGAATGAGAAAAGCGGGGGCCGAGAGAAGCTTGCCCTTGTTCGTGAATCCGAGGCGGTGCTGTTGTTCATGCTCTCCAGTTTTCGCCCACCGCCAGGATATTCGTTCTCATTGCTCTCTGTCGCTCAAAGTCGCGTCTGTAGAATGCCCGACCTCCGAGTTGTTGATTTTGTTTTGTTTTTTCGCACACAAGGTAGAGGCGGGCGCGATCCATGGCATGTGTAGCGATTTTTCACCGACATCTTCCACCACGTGCCCTTGAAAAACGCCTTCGACCTTGACGTGCGACGGCCTTGTTTTTTCTTGGCGGGGATTTCCCATCGCACCGGAACGTTGGGGGTGACTATTGTTGTTGTTGTTGTTATTGGTTGTGGTTGTGAGGGGTCGACGCCATCCCTTGACAACTCTCCCGCCTCCCTGCTGGCTTGGTCGGGTCACGCGCCTCGAAGAGAAAGGCCAAGTTAACCAGAGACTGATTCCTCGTTGCCGTTGACACTGCTGCTGCTGCTGCTGCTCATCACGCTTTTGTACCTCTGCACGAATTGACGGTCCTCCCGCCCCTCCCTTGAATCGATCGGATTTGTTGCTGACTGCGACGATTCAACCAGAGGTCGACACGGCGGCCGTGGCCGAGTTCCCGCTGCACCTCAGCCGGCACCCGATCATCGTGGGCCCAAAGGGCGCGACGCTCAAGCGCATCAGCGCGGCGAACGCCGTCCGCATCACGGTGCCGTCGGAGAAGGAGGCGGCGGCGCAGCAGCAGCAGCAGCAACAGCACGGGTGGCCGTCGTCCTCGTCCTCGTCGTCGTCGTCCTTGCGGGATAAGAATCTTGTCGTGCAGGTGCGGGGGGGTTAGTTGTGCGTGCTGAGAGGCGGGTTGATTGTGTTGCGCGGAACGACTTTGATTCACCGAACTGTTGGGGTTTGCATGTCGCTGCTGAGAGGCGGGTTGATTGTGTGCGCGCATTGGCTTTGATTCGCCGAACTGTTGGGGTTTGCATGTCGCTCTCTCGGGCTCGTGTTCTGCTGCTGCTGCTGCTCTACAAGCGCCATCTTACCTGCCCCCGTGACTCTTTCTGCACCTCTCTCCGCCACCATCATGTTACTCCGAAGGCCTTCAGTGCTCTTCTTTTTTTTGTTTTGTGGTTGTTGACGGTTGTGTGTGTGTTGGCGTGTTTGCTTGGCGTCGACCGAGCTGACCAGCTGACGATGGAAAACCTTGGGTTACGCGGGGAAAGTTGCAGGATGATGTCTTACCCGCACCTCCTCCCCTATAGGCGTACACTGAGGGTCATGGAAGGCATTCGAACGAACCGCCGGTTCTCTAGATTCAGAGTTTGTGCTTGCCATAAGCGTTCGTTCTTTGTGTGTGCGTTGTCTTCAGGTTTCGTGTTTTCTGCTGTATCGGGCGTCGCAAGCCGGTTTCCGTTTGGGCCCCGAAGGGCGCCATCAGCGGTCAAGCACACACATTTGCCCACTTCCGTCTCTCCAAATTCCGTCCTCTCCGTCCTTCCAGTATCTCCCCCCATGACCCGTCTATTCACCGCCCTCTTGAGTATCCGCAGCTGGATGGTGACAGGGGTGCGATCAGCCGTGTTCAAATGCCACCTACTTGTGTAGCTTACCTCCCTCCGATCGACCCCCCCCCCGTTCTTGTGGCGGTGAACTTTCCTTCCAGCTCGAGGGTGAGGTCGAGGCAGTATTTTCATCCCTGGCGATGATCATGGAGGCTGTGTACGGGTGTCCTGCTGCGACACTCGTCGGCGCCCTCCACCCCCCCAACAATTCTTTGGCGGCCCCCCCGGCGGCCGCCACCGATGCTGCGGATCAACCTCGGCGTTCCGCTGTTCCTCCTGGGGTGCCAGCCGCCGCGTTAGCCTCGTCGGAATCGCCGGCCGGTGGAGGGGGTGCGGACCGTACTAGCAGGGAAGGGATGCGCCACACGATGGTTACCGAAGCGCAGCAGCGAGGCGTACCACAGGCCGTGGGATGGAGCCACGCTCCGGCGGCGGCAGCAGCAGCAGCAGCAGCAACAGCAACAACAACAACAACGAAATCGGCGACGACCGTGGCCAACAAACGGCAGCAGCTAGCGAAGCAGCAGCCGGGGCAAGGGCACACGCGGCCGCCCGCGACGGAGATGGGTACGCCGTCGCCCGCACAACAAGCGGCGGATGCGCGTGGCAAACGACAGCAGCAGCAGCAGCAGCAGCAGCAGACGACGACCACGAAGGCTGCTGCAGCTTCGGGCGGGGGCGGACAGGCTATAGCAGCCGCGGCGATTAATTCCGTCACGCGAGGGGCGGCCGGCGGCGGGGCTCAGCAGCAGCGGACGAGCTCTCCTCGGACGACCAACAACGCGCAGTGGCCGACTCCGCCGCGGCAAGCCGGTGAAGCGATGCCGGAAGAAAGCCCAAAGGAGCAGCAGCAGCAGGAGCCGCAGCAGCAGGAGCAGCAGCAGCATCAGAACCAAGGGCAGATGGTGGTACCGATCCCCGGGCCATTGCCCAGCGCGGAGAGGTCGGAGGAAATCGTGCGATTGCCGGCGAGCGTGATCCCGGTGCTCAAGGGGCAGGCCAAGTCGAAGTCGGGCAACGGTCTGGTTGTCGCACGGTGGCTCATTTTGAAGGACATCCAAAAGTGAGCCCGCGCGCTTTGTGAGGTTCGGTGTTTCGCGCCAGTTGCGCTCTTTTGGTGCTGGTGTAAAGATAGTTTCTGTACTGTAGTTGCCTCTTGTGTGAACCCGGCTGATTGTTGTTTGTTGTTGTTGTCTTCACATTGTAAACCGTTCTGTTCTTTCTGCCCAGTACCTTCTTTTGTCCATACTAGTCTAACACTTGACGGGGTCGATTCCCGTGGTCACAGGCTAAATTACCCAATAAAGATATATTCGAAGATAAAATGGACCCGTGATTTTTGTTGTTGTTTTTGCCTTTTTTTTCCGCGGTCAGTTTTCGACGCGGGTCTTGTAGCGGTTCGTGACGCGTCAAACGCCTGTTGTTGCAAAGCGGGCGGTCTGAGGGACGGACCGAGCACTCGAAGAGGTTGTCCCCCCCCCCTATTGCTCGGCGAGTCCTCCTCAAGGCGATGAAACGCTCGACGCGTGTGCAGCTGAGACCTTGTAGCGCCCTGGCCCCCTGCTGTCAACCTTCGTCAACGTATATTAGGCACACTGGCACAACGGCGACAGCGATCTCAGTGCCGCGTGCTGGGGCGGACGAGGGCAGGGCGGGAACGGGAAAGGCGAACGCTTCGGCGACGAAGATGACAGAGGACGCCGCGGAAAGTACGGCAGAAGCAACGCCCACGGCCGTCGCCGATGGCGACGCAGATGAGGTATTTTTTTCTTTTGTGCTGGGGCGTTCTACGATGATATATGCCTCCCTTCCAATAGCAGTTGGGTTTGGTTCTACGTCCGATGCTTTTGCGCTCTTGTGCCAAACGAGAAAGATTTGTCACGCACAACAAGCAGGCCTCTCTGCTTAACACGCGCAGGCTAGAGCCTATGCTTGAGGTGAAAGAAAGGACTATTACTGCAATACAAGACCAGGTTCAACAGTTCGCCCCTCGACCGACAGAATGGAACTCTAGTTGACAAGAGGTCTGACAAGTGTTACGCTTCACTTCTCTCATCACTGCCACCTCCACACACTCCACACACCCGCGTTGTTTGGAAAAAACGCCGTAGGACCTGGTTCTCTTGGTCAAGGGTCCGACAAACTGTGTGGAGGTAGCGGCGGAAGCGCTGAGGAAGCTGGGCCGGAAGGAGACCGTGCGAGACGCACTGACGTTCGTCAAGACGACCTCGCCCCATCGCCGGCTTACGCAGCAGCGCCGTCAAGAGCAGCAACAGCAGCAGCAGCAGCAGGTACGAACAAGATGCCAACCTTTTTCCTTTCCCTCTATACAGTGTGTATTTGTCCGTTTGAAATGTGTTCGGTACCGGGACGTTGTGTAGTGTTTTTTCACTGCAAATCCTGACGAATCCGTTATTTTTCGTACTATCGTGTCTTCTACGCCGATTTCACGTATTTGTTTTGTCAATTATATGCTGAAGGCTACATACATGCTGGTAGCATCGCGTATGTATGCCTTTCGCTATCCAATGAATATTCCGTAGACAACCCAACCGTTGACTTGGTAATGCGACGATTAGGAGATGAAGTTGATCACGGGGGTTGTCGACTAACTTGCCGCTTCGCTCCCGCATCAACCAACAGCAGCGGAGCGACAACAACGGCAGCAGCACGGTCGCGAGAGCTCAGCAGCGGGACAAGAGAAACGGGGGACACGACCAAAGCAGCAGCAGCAACAACAACAGCAGCCGCGGCAGCAACAGAACGGCAGCAGCGAGAGTGCAGGAACAGGACGCACGGAGAGACGGGGGCGGCAGGGCGCCGCCTCACCACCCCACACGCCAGGTTTACTCCGCGGCCGCCGCTGCCGCCGCCGCCGCATCGTCACCCCGAAAATCCGCCAGGGAACAGGGAGGAGGAGGAGGAGGAGGAGGAGGAGCACCCCCTCCCAAGCATGGCCGCCACAGCGGCGGCGGCAACAGGCCCCTTCAAGATGAACAGACCGGCGGGTCTCAACAAGCGGCGGGTGGCGATGGAGGCAGGAACGGGGGGAGAGAAGCGGGGAGGGGGGGGCGAGGGGGACGAGGGCGCGGGCACCATTCGGTGCACGAGAGTAAACCTCAGCCACGAGCGCCTAGTCACGATGCGCAGCAGCAGCAAGGCGGGGGAGCGGGAGGGGTGCAGTCGGTGCGTGTGAAAATTAATGTGGCAGTTCTGGTTTGCCTCGTTTAGAATAAGAGCGTCATCAAGCGAATCGTTGTTCCGATCGATTTTGTTGTTGTGGTTGTGCGGCAGTCAGCAATGGTCGGTCGTGGCGCGATACTACTGCTGTATCTGTTTGCCGAAAGCCTCCCACTGACGACCCTCTTAAGTATGGCTCTACTCGCAACGCTTGACGTGTGTTGAACTGATGAATGCCAACGGCCTTTTCTTCATGTGGAAGGATCACACAACAAGGTGAGCACGCACATACGGTGGGTAAGTTATTTGGTGATCAACCAAAAGGTCGCGGCTCATGACACTTTTTTCGCGCATTGTTGTCAGGGACAGGCTGCGTTAAAGGCTTCAAGCAAACCTTCCCGGCAAAAGAAGAGCGGGTCTTCAAGAGGCGGCGGAGGGCGATCGAAAGCTGGAGGAGGAGCACCACCGCAACCCGCGGCGGGTGCTTCAGGAGGAGACGGGCAAGGAAAAGGACGGGGCGGAAGCACAGCGAAAGGTCGAGGGATAGCCCCTACAGCAGCTCGAAGTCAATCGTGATCTCGTTAGGGCCGCCGCACATCTGGATCCAGCTGCCTCAGTTTTCGCCCTTGTAGCCAAGCGCGGCACTCCGCAAGAAATCAGGCGGGTGCGCAAGGGGTGCCCACAGAAGAATGAAAACGACACCTACGTCCTAGAGAGGTCGAAATGAAAAAAAAATCAGTGGTGCCGTAATTGCGAGAAAAGTTCAAAAATAAAAGTTTTTTGCATATTTTTTTTACTTGATTTTAGTATACCCCCCCCTCAGCGCGCCTGCAGGGTACATACGTGTCAGAATATTTTTTCCCGGCCCCCTTGGGGTGCGCGAAAAGGAAAAGTCCATAACCTAGTCGTGAGAGTTTTGAAGCAGCGTCACGGGTACATTCTACATATTTGCACGGGTGTACGTACCGTACGGCGTCTTAGGGAGATCGAGTCGGGAGCTCTCGCGCACCTCGTCCATACTCGATGACAGAACCGCACACGTTGGTTTATGGGCTACTCAACAGCTTGGTTTATGGCGGCGGCCTCGACTCGCAGGCACCAGAATTTCCGCTATTGTAACTGGACGGGAGGAGGGGGCATTTTCGTTCCGAATAAATGACTTGGTATTGCCCGCGTCGCTGCGTGGGCGAGATATCGTACGGCTCCGGGATGGGCGGACCACTTCCACCTAATGCGTTTGTTTTAGGTCGTAGTGGTGACTAGTTGGAAACGGATTTGAACGCCTTTCTTTTCAACTACGCCAAGTAGGAGGACAAAGAAAGCTGGCGACGAGAAAAAAAATCAAGTGGGTGCGCACCACTACTTGAGAAAGGGCCAAGCCAATTCATTTCGCGCGAGCTACACGAGAAACTCGGAAGGGCATTTTTGCAAATTGCGTTTGCCAGGCTACACAAAAAAGGAGTGTACACCGATTGTTCAGGTAGACCGCCCGAGCCCAAACTACAGTACCAAGTCTTCCCGGGGGGCTAGCCGCGCAGACAGACGCGGCTTGATGGTGAGACCTGAAGAACTTGGACAACACACAACTCTTCTATTTTTTTTCATCGCAACTGTCCACGTCAGTCAGTTGAGCCGGGTTGAGCAGAGACCGACGGCTTTTGACGCGCAAAGACCACAGCATCGCGGAACGCTGGAGAACCACAGGTGGGTGCAAACACTTCACCCTACACGAATTCATCTCCGTAGGCCGTTCGTTACACATTTACAAAAGAATCGTTCCTCAATCATTCAGCTGAGCCAGGGAAGTTTGCCAGGCCTGTCGTCATTCTCGACTCTGACCAGGCTTATCTTGCCACAAATGAACCGTACTACAGTATGTATACGACTGACGCCTGCACGCATGCACGATCACCACCCATCCGGATTGTCGGATATCCAACGTTTGTTTCCGTAAGAAGCCTTTGGGCACTCGCGTGCTTCAGAGCGGGTCACCGAGTACCCTTGACACTTCTGGGTGGACACACGCGCAAGCGCCCATTCTCCCCAATCTGTTATTGTTGTCGTACTCTTGACGGTGTTGATTCCGTGGTCACAGGCTAGCACACCCAAGAAAAGGTGTACGAAAATAAAATGGAGGGTCCGCAAGCCAATAGAAGTCAACGACAGAAAGTCTAGGCGACTCCGCTTGCCTCTACGCGCAATGCGAGGTAACCCTAGACTGGAAAAAGAAAAGAAAAAGAACCATTATCCGACCCCGACAACACGCCCGATCACCAGACCACCGGAACCAGTTCCCAAGATGCTCTCAACCGTAGCCCGGGCGCTTACGCCACTGGCTTTCGTCGTCCCACCCCACTACACCACTTCAAGGTGTAACGGCTGCAAGATTTCCGTTCATATCGCAGCTGGGGTCGGATAGTACTGCGCAGATGCTCTCGATGCCCTTGCCTCAAAACAAGCTGCTGCCGCAAACACGTCCATCCACACAGAAATAAAATCCAAGCGCCACGCATTCTTCGCACACATCCACGTCTCCCAGTCTGCGGCAAGCTTGCATTCCGTGTCAACAATGGGCTCCCAGGTTGGTACCCAACCAACCCGTGTCCCCTCACGAGAAAAATAACCGCATGCCGACACCGCAAGCGGGGCGTTCCGGAAAACCGGTGTGCACTTCACAACATTTGCCCGTGAAAAAAAATTCACGACCAATGGGGAGCCGGCTTATGATGTCCCGACCCGCTTTTTAAACCGGTGTGCACTTCACAACATTTGCCCGTGAAAAAAATTTCACGACCAATGGGGAGCCGGCTTATGATGTCCCGACCCGCTTTTTAAACCGTGTGCACTTCACAACATTTGCCCGTGAAAAAAAATTCACGACCAACGGGGAGCCGGCTTATGATGTCCCGACCCGCTTTTCCGCCGCCAGGAAACGCCACGATCCAGGTCGGTGAAACCCTGAAAGTGAAAGCGAAAGTGAAAAGAAAATCATTCTATGGTCGCAACAGCTTGATGGCGATGGAACACAAGTGTCAACAAACAAGGGCCGCCTGATGCCATCCACAAGATTGGCGATCAAATTTCGTGGGTTGGAATACGGGAGCCGGCTCAGCACTTGACATCGTTGAACTACAGGTAAACTGTCTAAGAGAGCATTAAACCAACGAAAGCTTCAATATCATAGTTACAACAGCAGTGTGTGTTCCTGTCCCAAGACTTTGCATCACCTCACGCTGCGGCAAAAAAACTGAATGATCAACATCTTTGACGGTTTACATTCGAATGCACATTGAACCAGTGAAGTACGGCGTGCTGTTTGGAAGAACTTGGCCGTCACAAACACTACAAAGTGCGCCATTTTGTGTCAACAAGAGCACCGCCAAAAATAAGAGTAAATCTGGAACAAAAAACTACGCCGTCAGGGCGGTCGGGGGATGGGGGTTATAACTTGATACAACTGCGTACTTGTGTAAGTGGTATCTCGGGACTCCGCTCCCCTGTTGGATTTTTCGGACGTGGCATAGGGTGCCCGAACAGAAATCGTTTAGCGACAATCTAAACAACGACATGCGCATCACAAGACCACCAATTTGCCTGTACCTCACCCGTGTCTACCGCGCACGTCGCCCGTAGGCGACGCAACGCACAGCGGCTCATTTATCTGTTCGGTTCCACAGCAACCCCTGCCATGGCGGGCATCGTGTGAATGAAAAGGGGGAAACACGAAAAGAGCGAGACCTCCCACCCTTGAAGCGGAGGTGAGCCAAGAGGGATCCATCCGTAAACGAAGCGCCGCACACGGCTTTGACAGCGGATACAACCCGACCAGACCGACACATCTTCTCACGCGGGTAAAACGAAATTCGAGGACTGCCTCACATTTCCGGTTTCCCCGATTTCATCCGGTTTGACAAACACGCGCACGCTTCCAATGGCGACTAGGGCGTTTTTTTTCGGATGGTACATTTGGAAGAGATTTAATCACCGCCGCCTGGCACTGACACAAAACTGAACACATCGGTGAAAGAGGCAAAAAAAAACACTCCCCACAAAACGTCCACACATAAACATTTGCACTCGACCAAGGGGATTGCATGTTGTATCATTCTCGGTGCCACCGGCGGGAAAACTGCCGTCACCTGTACCGCACCGAGAAGACCAAAAGAAATCGACGTCATGCCGCCCGTACCTCCTAATGAGTCATCGTCTGCCTTGTGTTCGACCACCGGACCCGGTCATAGTGCTATTGTGGGGGGTCGCTGAAAATTAGAGTCCGAACCGGACTACCTGCGATTCGCCAACAAACGCGGTGGGTGTTTTCACATGTAAGCGAGGATTCTCAACATCTATGTATCCAGAACAAAAACTGACACCAGCCGGAGTTCGACACGACAATGATGACGTCCTGTCATTTCCATCAAGCAACAGATCA